TCGTTTTCTTGATGTGAATAAAACGCAGGTAAAGGCTGCTATTTATACGGAAAGATGAGGGTTCCGGGATGTGTTAGAGTTGGAGTTAAATTGGTTTGGCTTTGTACGTAGGAACTCTCGCAGGTCGCCGGTAGGAGAGTTCTTATTTGATTGTGATTCTGAATTGTAACTCATATTGATTCAAGCTACGCACGTTTTATATGTTTTAGGCTTGGAGAGAATTTATGTTTATATACTATGTGTTGAGCTTTGTTTTTACTACGTATGTGTAGGAATACCTTAGATATAAGCAGTAGGTATTAAGTTTATCTTTTGGGTATTAAAATATAGCTTTTACTTCTTATACCATATGTATAATTTGTACTTGATATAAAATGTTACTTCTTTTATCGGACCACTTTTATCGGACTAAAAATGTCACAAATGTTAATTTTCTGTCTGGTTCACTTGTTTAATAAAATGTTGTTCCTATTACCGAAATATTTTTATCTGACTAAAACGTCATAAATTTTGAAATTTTATCTGATTAGAATGTTACAACTGTTGAATTTTTGTCTGACTCAAATAATTATTAAAATGTTATTTTCGTAATATTTTATCTGACTAAACATTATTTTTACTTTTATTTAAATTTTTGAAGTGTCACAAGGTCGGAGTACTCATGTGGCGACTTCACATCGACCGCAACTCCGGGTTCAAGACCACCGATCTGCGCAGAGGTGGTTTTATCATCCATTCAACCGGAGACAAACACAGATCAGAAAGGGGCAACTAAGGAAGGAGAAGGGGTAGGATGAAGCCAAGGAGCTGGCAGGAGACGAGAAGAAATGTGAAGGTGATAGATGAAGAGGAGTATGGTGGAGGGGACGAAGATGAGCTACATATGGGGTCGAAGGATGAGAGAAGATAGAAGGTCAGAGGACGGATAGATACGAACAAAGAAAGTGGGGCGGTGGGGGTTTAATGCGAAGGGGTAGTTGGGGGTTAATGCAAGTTATTAATGGTTGGGTGGGTAGTAATAGGAGTATTATGAGGGAGGGATATTTAGGACATTTCAACCAAAATTGTGTATAGAAAAAGAAGTGTAAAGTTTAATATGGGACTGCCAAAAAGGAAAGTGTAAAGTTTAATAAGGACCGGAGGGAGTAAAAGGAAAATGTAGTATAGTAGTTGTCTGGTAAAAAGTTGACTGTTTGATTTAGTTCTGTTTGGTATACAAGTTGTTGGGACTAAGGCTATGTTTGACAGACATAAGTTTCTGCCTTCTAGCTTTTATACTATTTAAAAAGTATTTAAAAGTTTCTAGTTGTATGTTTGGTACACCCATTTTTAAGAGCTTTTATAAAAATAAAAGATCTTTTTTGAGATGCTACAGTAAGTAGCATCTCAGATAAGTTCGTAGCTTCTAGCATTAATTAGTCATAACAGCTTGTATAGCAAACAAAGCTAAATCAAACAGTCAGCTTTTTACCAAACAACTATTGCATTTTCTTTTTAAGATCTTTTCGGTCATCAAAAGATAATAGTTACAAAAAAGCTAATAAAAGTATCTTTTCAGCTAGTTGTGCCAAACATATCCTAATTAATGCTAAAAGCTACAAACTTTTCTCAGATTCTACTCCATGTAGCATCTCAAAAAAGACCTATTTTTTTTAAAAGCGCTTAAAACTTGACATGTCATACATACAACTAGAAGCTTTTAAAGATTTTTTAAATTGTATAGAAGTTAGAAGATAGTGACTTATGCCTACCAAACATGCTCACAGACATAACATAGGTCTATCTGAAGATTGCATATATTAGCTATTAGCACAAAATATAAGTAAACAAATCAAAGTATAAATTCCTCAAACTCATGAGTTTAGACGTGAAGAATTTAAATGTGTTTTTGATGAGTTTTCGTTTCATAGATACATTTTGTTTGTGAAGTAATTGAGTGGATAAAATCAATGCCTCTTCATCCTAAATAAACTTATCATTCTTCTTTTATGGATAACCCTAAATAATGCACAACTTTTTTATTTGGTAAATAAATCTATATCAATTTACTTTACTACACTTAAATAAATAATGACATTACAATGTTAAAGAATGTCAAAAGCAGTAAAAATTACTTTTAAGTAAAAGAGGATATTTATATACTACGGGCTGGAATATATACGCAAATTATACCGTGCAACCGGCGCACCATGAGGATGGTGCGCCCGGTTGCAAAACGACGCAGCTTCCCTGTTTTTTTTTTGCTTTTGTTGTTTAAAAATGATGATAACTTTCTTATTTTTGATCCGATTTTTATAAAATTTATATCAACATTTTTTATTTTTCATGATCTTTCAAATGAGACCAATATTGCTTATGTAATGTTAAGAAATTATCGAACTATTATATTAATGAGTATTGGATTATAAGGAAAATCGAATCTGTTTGGGAGATGATAGGTTTGTGAAATAGAAGATTGAATCTGTTTGGGAGTGGATCAGTGGCCTCAGTTACATTTGATAATACATTGAGTTACATCTTTTTATGAACGAGTTACATCTTTTTATAAGCAAGTTACATCTTTTTATAAGCAAGTTACATCTTTTTATAAGCAAGTTACATCTTTTTATAAGCAAGTTACATCTTTTTAAAAGCGAGTTACATATATATAAACACGAGTTGCATTTGACATGCCTGAACGCGACTTACATATATTTACACGTAAAGTTACATATTTTTACACGTAAAGTTATATATTTATACACGCGAGTTACATATTTATACACACGAGTTGCATTTGACCTGTCTGAACGCGAGTTACATATTTTTTTACGTAAAGTTACATATTGTTACACGTAGAGATACATATTTATACACACGAGTTGCATTTGGCCTGACTGAACGTGAGTTACATATTTTAACACGTAAAGTTACATATTTTACACGCAAATGTTAATATGTTAAAATTACATAGGCAATATTGGTCTCATTTGAAAGATCATGAAAAATAAAAAATGTTGATATAAATTTTATAAAAATCGAATCAAAAATAAAAAAGTTATTACCATTTTTTTAAAAACAAAAGGAAAAAAATATATAAATCCGTATACGGTATACGGTGCTCACCGTATACCGATCGTACGGTATAGGCACTGGAGTATATAGAGACGGCTGGAGTATTATAGTACAAACTAGACCTGTACAAACACGGGCTCGACCCGGATACGGGCCCGGCTTTATCTAAAATTTCTGCCCATTTATGTGGCGGGTCAAACGGGCCACCTCCCATGTCCAAGCCCACCCATAGTAGCGGGCCGGATAGTCCATCGGGCCGTCCGACCCGGAAAAGTGTACCATTGTTTGAATTTGATGAAAAAGTTGATATCATTTTTAAAATAACATCAGGGCCGGCCATAGGGGGAGTTACCCTAGACAAGTGTCTAGGGTCTCCAAATTTTAGGGGCCTCTAATTTATAAAATAAGCTTATTAATATTATTTAGGAGACTTTGTCCGGCCGTAAATATTTGGGATAGTTTCCTTTGTAATTTTTTGATGATTTTTTTAGAATCTTATTCATTATGTCTAGTTTACTCATACCAAATTTCACCTATAAATTCAATCGGGAAGACATTCAAATGAATTCTTGAAGATAACTGCGCAGTTAAAAGCGCAGTTATCTTCAAGAATTTATTTGAATGCCTTCCATGTTGAATTGTTAGCTGCAATTTGGTACAAGTAAACAAGACTTAATGAATAAGATTCTCAAAAAAATTCATCAAAAAATTACACCGGGAACTGCCCCAAATGGCGACGGCGGGACAAAGTCTCTTATACAAGGGCTTATTTGACCTTTTTGGTTAGTATGTGGGCTTATTTGCTCCTTTTTCCTTTTTTTTCTTTGTTGGCTAGGGCAGTAGGTCTAGGGATTTAGGATAATGAGTATTCTAAATATATTTGAATGCTTATTGAATAATTGAAATTGTAATTTTTTATTTTGATTCATCGAAATATTGAACATACTTATAATTTTTTATATTTGATTAAATTTAGTGAATTAAATTTATATCTATGAACCACTAACTTATATTTAGTGATAGTATTATTTTGAATGAAATTTTATGTTTTGTGATGATTGGAAAACAAAATATGAATCAAGATGTACAAAGACAAAGAAAAAAATTAAGAAATGATTTGGTCATGAAATCACTTTCCGGCTCTATCGATCGGTATGTTGTATGTAAGCACAAAACCTTCTCCCTCTAGGGCTCTTTGTATTTTTTCATCAACTTTGATCTTCTGATTTCGAAGAATATTCTCATTGTGTTAATAGTATATGATGTATTTTATATGTAATTTACTTATGTTTAATTGCTATTTTTTATATCATTGGGTTAAATAAAACATATTTAAAACAAAAATTTCTACGTGACCGTCTAGGGCCTCATAATTGCTCTAGCCGGCCCTGAATAACATCACACCATTTTAAAAGTAATTAATGAACAAACTAATAAGTATTCCTTCATGATATACACAAACTATTTTGAACAGTTGATCTGCTCTAGTAATATAGTATGTATTTTGTTTGGCCGCTCAACTGCTACTTTGTCGATAAAATGGGAGTAAGGTTAATTAGATGTTCTTTGGAGCCATTAATATAATGGGTAATAGCAAGTAGGGTTCACTAATGGGAAATAAGAAGTAAGTAATACGAAGTACTCCGTAACTAATATGGTTCATTGTGTACGTACGAGTATAGATATAAATATACGTAGTATATAATATGTATAAAACTCCCTCTGTCCCGAAAAGGTTGGCCAAATTTCCTTTTTTGTATGTCCCAAAAAAATTTGTCATTTTCATTTAAAGTAAGGAATATGTGGCTAAAATTAATTTTCTTTCCTCTGCACAAATTTCAACCACACAGTTTTTACTTTATTAATTCACGTGAAAGTCAACTTTGACCAACCTTTTTGAGTATAAATTAATACTTGATATGTACTACATATATTATTAATTTTTCGGGCGGGGTTTTTGGGGCGTAATCAGAAGATCGAAGCCCAAAATCCGAAAGCTTTCACCTAATCCGCTTCACAATTTGTTTGAACATGAAAAAGACGTTTCCTTTCCTGCTGTTTCGCACAATCGATTGGCTTTATGTTAGCTAAACCTTCCTTCGAAAGTGTAGAATTAATTTCATCTTCTAGTTTCTTGTTAATTTATTGCCACACTAAATTATTCCCTTTTTTTCTAAAAAATATGGAATTGATTAATAATTTCCATATGTATTGCTTTGAACTGTTGAAGGCGGTGCTCATCACCAAGACTTGTCTGCGATGGGGTGCAACTTGTTATGAATTGTATAAGTTAGCTAGTCTGGAACGACAATTGGAGGAACAAAATCGCAGATCGGAGCTCAAATTTGGTGAAACACAACAAAAATTGGACGCCATGCTCCAATTGTTACAGAAGAAATTCGAAGAAGAAGAAGAAGATATTCATTCAAATCACTCGAATCATTCTCATCAACCTAATTCTGTGCATGAGAACATTGGAATTCAGTTCAGCTCGGGTAATCATTCTAAACTTCTTGGATTTTCTCCAAAATTTGAGTTTCCGATTTTCAATGGAACATGCCCTAGAAGTTGGATTCAGAAGTGTGCTAGATACTTTGATTTGTGTAAGATTGAACATAACCAAAAAGTAGACCTAGCTTCATTGTATCTATCTGCCAGAGCCGAATCATGGTTCAATGGATATGTATCTGTGCACAAAAATATTGTTTGGGAGCAGTTTGTTATAGATATTTGTGCCAGGTTTAACGAAGAATTGGGTGGATCATTCGTAAAAGAATTCAATAAAATGAGACAAGGGAATTCACTTGATGAATATATGGATCAGTTTGAGAGTTTAAAAGGCCTCACGTCACAAAAAATGAAAGACTGCCAGATGACTTCTTCTTGGACAGTTTTATAGGAGGTCTCAGTCCTACTATAAAACATTTTGTTAAGTCCTTTAAACCCAGATCTCTACGGCAAGCTATGGAATATGCTCGTGATAGACACTAATGGTTAGTGCCTAAATATGTGATAGACACTAATGGTTAGTGCCTAAATATGTTCTGCCAAGCAAAAAACAGCATACCCATTCGGGTATTACTAAAACCCGGTCGGGTAATCGGGATTTCAGTCCGATTTGGTCCCAAATCAGCCCACAAAACACCCATTTTCTTTCCTAATCTCCCAAACTCAAACCCTCAACCTCCATTGACAATCATCCAAGCTTCAAACCACTCCAATCTCAACCAAAACATCCAAATTAACCCCACACTCTTCTTATCCACATCATCCTCTCCAACCCCAAAACCTCCAAAATAAAATGTCATTTCTTTTTCTCCTCACCCTACTTTCCAAATCCACACACACAAAACCCACCAAGTCTTCCAAATACCCTACAAACCAAATTCCCTAACCCCCCAAGCTCAAGTTTGGAATTCACTAAAAAAAAATGAGAAAAAAAGCACCAAAGAGAACACATAACTTCGACCACCAAGGGTACTTCTCCAACATGCCCAACCTAGTACAACACCCGACATGGTATTATCCCTCATATTAATGCAATTTGGAGGTTCTAGCTCCGGTGAACATGGTCTTGGTGGCGATGGCGGTTATGGAGGGTACGTCGACGATCATGGTGCCGAACACTAGGGACAGTGTTTCAAAAAAAGTGTAGGGGAGGCACTCATTTGGTATGTACTCATTTTTTTAACCTTGTAACTTGCATTATTTTTCTTCAACAAAAAAAAGCAAAAAAACAATAAAAGAAAAAAATGCGAGTTAGGTTGAAAACCCAGAAAAAATGGGCAATCTAAGAAAAAGTGGCTAAAATGAGTGAGTTGTGAGAAACGAAAAATAAAAAGAGAGGCTAGGATGAAAACCTGAAAAGACTCCTAGGCAAAATGAGAGAATGAGAAAAAAAATTCAATTTGTGCAGGAAGATAATCAAAAAAAGAAGAAGAAGAAAATGTTGGATGGTTGGTCTGCTACTCTTGAGGTTTTGAAAACTTCATGGGCAGGTTTTAATTTACTCGAGACGAGTAAAGGTTCAAGTGTGGGAGTGTTTGATAGACACTAGTTGTTAGTGCCTAAGTATACATTTTTATTATTGTTTGTAATGTTTATTTATTAGTTTTGTGCAAGTTTGTAGTTGTTAGTTTGCATTTGATTGTAATCGTATTTCTAGCATTTTATTGTTTGTTGTAAGTTGTAGCTAGTTGGGCTATAAGTTTAGGATAAGTTTGGAAGCAAAAAGGATGAAGAATCCTGAGTTTTGTGCAAAACCCGGTCGGGTATGAAGTGAAAGAGGAAGCTTCTGGGAAATTATATCAAATACCCGGTCGGGTATTCCATATACCCGGTCGGGTATGAAGTGATTTCGGACAGAAAGACGTGCAAAAGAACACAAAAACGTGGGAAAAAGATTTGATTTGACAAATACCCGGTCGGGTATGTCAAATACCCGGCCGGGTATCCGGCCATAGGTGTTGAAAAAACATATAAATAACCCCATTTTTCTTCACTTGTCATCATCCCTTCTTCCATACTCTTAAGCTCAGTTTAGAATAGCATTTCTTTATATTTTTCTAGCTATGTTTAGTCTCCAAATGAGGAGCTAAACTTCCATTTTTTGGTGTTGCTCTTGAAGCTTGTTGATTATTAAAGTTGTGAGTTATTTTCTTAACTTTTTCCCTTGAATATTAATTATTAGTTCTTTCCTTAATACTATCTCTATATTAATGTTGGGGAGTGTTGCTAAGATGACAATTAGCTAACATCTTGACATTAGTTATAGTAGTATTTTCTTCCTCTATATTAATGTTGGGGAGTGTTGCTAAGATGACAATTAGTTAACATCTTGATGTTAATTATAATAGGATTCATCTTCTTTAATAATATTCTTCCTTGAATATTAATTAATTCATATTCATATTTCATATTAATATTTTGAACATTACTTAAAGGATCAACTAGTTTTGTTTCATATATTAATTATTACTAGAAACGATCGACGAACCGATGGTTAATCGTTGATGGTTTCACAAGTAAGTAACTTCGGTTTATTAATGCACGGTCGTGGTTAATAAACTTAAGAGGGATTGATTTTGTTGGTTAAACCGAGACCGTTGTGTTGAGTTTATCAATCTCAATTGATTTCATCAAGGAGTTAAGAGATTAAATGCTACTATCAAGTCGGTATATGGCGGTGTTCTATACTTGACTAATAGTAAGGGTTATTAATGAACGGTTGTTTTTAATAGCTACCCTCGATGAATTGGATATACTCCTCGATTGAGTATTCGAAAGGGAATAAGTTATAGATATAACAATGATCGACTAAAATTTATCAACAAGTGGAAAGTAGCAATGCCAAGTCCTTTTTATCTTTGAATTAAACACATATAGGTTGTTCATCTTAGTTTCTTAATTAAATTAAATCATTCAAAACCAAAACCCCCCTTTTAATTACTAGTTTCATAAAAAGAGAATTATTCCTTTCCCTGTGGATACGAACTCTACTACGCTATACTACGTATAAGTGTTTAGTATTGAATTTATTTTGACGCACCGTGACAAAGTGCTCGTCAGCTCGCTTACAAGAAAATGGTTTGGAAGCCCTGAAGAAGGTGGGAAGAAATTATCTTGATAGACCAACATTCAGAAATGCAGAAAATCAGACTAAATATGGGTATAATTATGTACCAGGCTTTCAGAAAAAACAGATTGGGTTACTACCTAAACCTGTACACTCTCAAGGGAGATATCATGGATCCAAAAAAGAAACTTGTGTTTTCATTGTGATGAAAGGTATGCTCCAGGTCACACCTGCAAGGCACAGATATACAAGATTCAAATACTGCCTATTGTGGAAGAAGAGTGTAAATTCAATGGAAGAAGATGTGGAACTCCAAGGGTTAGACAACAATGAACCCAGCTACCTAGGAGATCGAGAAGAAAATGATGAACCACCCTTAATTTCTTTAAATGCCTTATCTGGTCATCAAAATTTTCACACCATGAGAGTAGTGGGGAAGGTGACAAAACATGACCTACACATCTTGATTGATTCTGGGAGTACCCATAATTTCTTAGATCTCCAAACTGCTAAGAAATTGGGTTGTAGGATTTCAAATTCCTACCCTTTGGAAGTGTCAGTTGCCAATGGTGAAAAGATCTTCACAAATCTAACTTGCCAAAACTTCAAATGGAATCTACATGGACAAGAATTTGTAACTGACACTATGTTGGTTCCTCTTGGAAGTTGTGAAATGGTTTTGGGAATTCAATGGTTAGCTTCCCTGGGGCAGATTAATTGGAATTTCAAAGATCTTATTATGGAATTCAATTATTTGGGAAGAAGAGTTGTTCTGAGAGGTAGTAAAAAGGCAGTCTCAGTTGGATGAATGGAAGTCAAAGCCTCAAGGAAATACAGAAAGAAAACAGAAGTTGGAGTGGTCAACTACTGGTGATTCAAGTAAATCAAAGACCAGAGGTATCCCAGATTACTCATGACAGTGCAAAAGACAATGAGTATCAACTAGAAAAGCTTGATCAGTTGCTTCACTCATATTCAGACATATTTGAAGAACCAAAACAACTACCCCCACACAGAGAGCATGATCATAAAATCCATCTTAAACCAGGAACTACCCCGATTAATGTAAGACCCTACCGGTACCCTGTGATTCAGAAAGATGCTATTGAAGATATAACAAAAGAAGTGCTGGACCATGGTATCATAAGACATAGTCAAAGTCCGTTTTCTGCACCAGTGGTGATGATTAAAAAAAAGAGATGGGGATGTGGAGGTTCTGCACTGATTACAGAGAGCTAAATAAGCAAGCCATCAAAGATAAGTTTCCAATTCCTATCATTGCTGAATTGCTAGATGAATTGCATGGGTCCAGTGTATTTTCCAAAATAGATTTGAGATCTGGTTATTGGAAAATAAGAATGAGAGAAGAAGATATTAAAAAAACAGCATTCACAACTCATGTAGGGCATTTTGAATTCCTAGTGATGTCTTTTGGACTCACTGATGCCCCTTCTACTTTTCAAAGTCTGATGAACTGTATATTTCAGCCATATCTGAGGAAGTTCATATTGGTTTTTTTTATGACATCCTCATTTACAGTTCAAATTGGACAGAACATCTAAAACACTTACAAATCACTCTGGAAATCCTTAGACAGAATGTTTTATTTGCTAAAAAGAGCAAATGCATCTTTGGGGTAAAAGAGGTTGAATACTTAGGGCATATCATATCCAAAAATGGAGTGTCTACTGATCCTGTGAAAATTGAAGCAATGCAGACCTGGCCAACCCCTAAAACTATCAAAGGATTAAGAGGATTTCTAAGTTTGACTGGCTACTACAGAAAATTCATCAAGAATTATGGAATCTTAAGCAAGCCATTAACTTGCTTGCTAAAGAAGAATGCATTTCTCTGGAATGAAGATGCTGAACAGGCCTTTATGCTACTTAAAAAGGCCATGAGTGAAGCACCAGTGGTAGCCTTACCAGATTTCAAGCAATCGTTTGTGATAGAAACTGATGCTTCTGATAAAGGAATTGGGGCTATTCTCTCTCAAAATCAGCACCCCATAGCCTATTTGAGCAAAGCTCTTTCTGAAAAGAACTAAAGCCTTTCTACATATGAAAAAGAGTTACTGGCTGTGATATTGGCTGTAGAAAAGTGGAGAGCATACCTGATTGGGCATCATTTCATCATAAAAACAGATCACTTTAGTTTAAAATACCTACTGCAGCAGAAAATCACCACCCCATTCCAAAGTAAATGCCTACCTAAACTCATGGGATTAGATTATGAGATTGAGTATAGAAAGGGCAAAGAGAATGTGGCAGCAGATGCACTTTCCAGATTAGGAAATGGGGAATTGATCAGTATGATACTAACTGAAGTGCAATCTGATCTCTTGAACAAAATACAAAAAAACTGGGAATTGGAAGGGACTGCTGAGCTGATCAAGAAATTGAAAGAAGAACCTGGTGCAGTAAAGAAGTATTCTTTTTCATATGATAAACTGTTAAGAAAAGGAAAGCTGGTGGTGGGAGAAGATGAAAGCTTAAGGAAGGAAATTATTCAGAACTTACACAGTTCTGCCATGGGAGGGCACTCTGGAAATCAAGCCACCAATAAGAGAATCCAAGCTCTTTTCTATTGGAAAGGTATGAAGAAAGATATAAGAAACTTCATCAGATGTTGTATCATTTGCCAGAGGAATAAACTCATACTGGAAGCTCCTGCTGGTCTTTTACAACCCCTACCTATTCCTGAGGCTATTTGGGTGAATATCTTTATGGATTTCATAGAAGGCTTACCTGAGTCCATGGGAAAAGACATTATACTGGTTGTGGTGGATCGCCTCAGTAAGTATGCCCATTTCCTTTTACTTGATCATCCATATGAAGCTAGCACTGTAGCAAAGGAGTACTTTGAACATGTTTTTAAACTACATGGACTGCCTAAGACTATCATAAGTGATAAAGATAAAATCTTCCTCAGCAAGTTTTGGCAAGAAACTTTCAAATTACAGCAAGTAGATTTGAGATTGTCTACTGCATACCACCCACAGACAGATGGACAAATGGAGATTGTCAATAATGTTTGGAAACTTACCTACGATGCATGACAGGAGAAAATCCAACGGAATGGGCCAAATGCATTCCCTTGGCGGAGTGGTGGTACAATACAAACTATCACTCATCTATAGGCAGAACTCCTTATGAAGTTGTATATGGTCAATCTCCGGCCATACACCTTCCATATATACAAGAAGACAGCCTAGTGGAAGCAGTGGATCACAGCTTAAGTGCTAGAGAAGAATGCATTCAGATGCTTAAGTTTCATCTCAAATGAGCTCAGGACAGGATGAAGGCTCAAGCTGACAAAAGGACTGATAAAGAATTCAAGGAAGGGGATTGGGTGTACTTAAAGCTGCAACCGTATCGACAACAGTCTGTGGCTTATAGGGGCAATCAAAAATTAGCTCCCAGATTCTTTGGTCCCTTTGAGATTATAAAGAGGGTGGGGCAGGTGGCATATAAAGTAAAGTTAGCTGAAAATGCAAGAATGCACCCTGTCTTACACATATCTCAGCTCAAGAAACATTATGGTGACCTTCCTACTAGCTATACTCTTCCTAATATGAACGACAACGGAATGTTGAGTGTGGAACCATTGACAGTATTAGAAAGAAAAATAGCTAAAGTAGGAAATGGAGCAGCAGTGTACTGGCTAGTCCAATGGATGAAAGGAAACAAAGAAGATGCTACTTAGGAAAGATATGAAGAATTAGCCAAAAGGTTTCTAGAGTTTGTAAACCGTTCACTTGCAGCTTGTGGACAAGCTTCATTTTAAGGGGGGTGGATTGTTATGAATTGTATAAGCTGTCCACGTGGAGTGTCATGGTTAGAATTGTAATCTACATGACACTTGTATAGAACGGAGCTAATATTGAACTTTGTTAGTAGTTGTTAACTAACAAAGTTTGTTAGAACAGTTAGTTGGGCGGGTGGAACATGAATGTATAAATAAGTCCATTTGTATACTGTTTTAGCATCCGGAATAATAATCGTCTTCTTCCCTATGCTCTCTGTATTTCATTTCTTGTTAAATTTGAATTCTATTCTTTTCTCTAGAATTCCTACTCTGTTTAGCTAATTCATCGATCCAGGATCCCTGAATATAGCACAGCTGTGCGATGATTTCTAAACTGGAGGTGGTGAAGACGACGGGGCTCGTCACCAAGGGTGGGTTTTAAAGTAAAAAAATTCGGCGAATTATTTGGCTGAATAATTCCGGCGAATTAACGAGAGGATGTTGGGGAAACAATAAGCTACTGCAGTATTTTCTTTCATCAAGGATACTCCCATGACCGGTTAAGAAGGCTAGTTTTGGAGATGAGTTTACTAATTTAAGTTGGTAACTTTTTTTGTTATTATTTTTATTTTTGGTTAACCGATTAATGGTTAACCAAAATTTTGGTTAATCAATATTCAGTCAACTGAAATCTCGGTTAACCGATTTTCGGTTATCCAAATTACGGTTAACGATGTATGCTCGTTAAAATGGTATTGATTACTTGAATATAAGACTAAAATCGACCGGTTTGGGAAAAAGATATAGGCTAAAAACGTGTAGTCTGCTCGGATTTACCCCTATCCACTTTCATATCTCTCGGAATTAGGTAAACTGGCCGAATAGATTTCTTAGCATTTCTAATTCGGTCGGAATTTTCTGGAATTTTTTACAGAAATTTTTTTACTTGGACTGAAATTTCTGGTTTGAACTATTAAGTGTTTGATATTTGTGTATTTTATAACTATCCAAGTTTAGTCTTTTCGAAATCTGATTTGATTTAGGATTCAAATCCAAGTAAAAGCTTCCTAATAATGGATGGAGTCATTCTTTTTTCTTTTACGAGTACATTTTAATTATGATGCATCAATTACATCCCGTGTATGCAAATCTTTTATTTATTTTTTTGTATAGAAGAAATAGGTTTAAATTGATAACACATTACACATCACTCAGATAGTAGGTAAAAACATAAAGACTTCTGGGAACTATCGATCTTCGAACCAAACTCAGAGTTTATCATCTCTGATAAAGCAATATAACTTGTTGATTCATTATTGGGCGCAAATGAGCCAAAGACGGTTAACGCAATCCTTCCATCACCCACATCCAAATCCAGTTTTACAGCAAAATAAAATGCAGAAACAAAAAGTGACTGAAAAACTCAGACTATTAAAACAAAAGAACGCTAAAAAATAAAACTCATGCCCCTGCTTCCAAATCACCACCATCTCCCATACTCCTGGGACTGTCCTCTGTGTTGGCAGCTTCGGCGAGCTTACACCTTGAAGCTCGCCTTCTCCCCATTTTTTTGCCCCATCCAGAGCCATATTGTCCCCCAACTTGATTTTTTGTTTCCTGAGCCTCCCAGATTGGCCTCCGTTTTTGCTCCCCTAACACCCCCCTCATTGCTTCCTAATTCCACATCTTTCGTTGAGCTGTTAACCATACCCAACATGGACTCCTTCCAATCACCTTAGGCTGGGGATCCCAACTCGAACTAGATGAACCATCCACTGACCATTTATTTCCTCATGTAGGACTAGTCTTCACCCCACTACCAGCTCTAAGGTGTACTCCAAATATTTTTTCTAGTACCAGATTTTCTTCATATGGCAACGGGCAGAATTTATCAGAATGGCCGATTATACGACAAACAAAACAGAAGTTGGGTAGTTTTTCATATTTAAAGTCCACCCAGTAACCAATCCCTCTTTTTTGAGAAAATGGAAACTAATAATCCAACCTTTTAACGGTGTTCTTATAATAGTCCCGCCTTTTGATTATTTATGAATAATCTAACCTTTGCATCCCATCTTCATTCACTGGTCCCTGGCCGATTTATGACCTGTTATTCCAAGTTATTTTCTTATCTTTGCAAAATATTATGTAGGTGGGATTATTGGTATAATGTTTTACAAAGATAAGAAAATAACTTGGAATAACGGGTCATAAATCGGTCAGGGACCAGTGAATGAAGATGGGGTGCAAAGGTTGGATTATTCATAAATAATCAAAAAGTGGAACTATTGTAAGAAGACCGCTAAAAGGTTTAATTATTAGTTTCCATTTTCCCCTCCTTTTTTAAAGGTTGTACCCTTTTTAGAGGTTTTTCCACATCCATACACACCCTGAAACGCAGATAAGCCTCCCACTTTTCACCAAATTTGTTATCATCATACTGAATAAATTTACCAATAAAATTACCAACTCATCTAACAGTGCTTAGATTCATCAAACTGTAAGGAACATTATGAATTTGTACCCAAAACTCAACTTTATTTAAGCAGATCTTGTGCGGAATATCGTCAGATCTAACCTCTTTTGGAATCAACAAATTCCTCTCAAATTGTCACGGGACTCCATCAAGAACATGTTTCATATCTACAATATGATAGAAAGTAAAAAGATACCTTTTGTCCCCGATTTCTTTGATCATCACACCTTTCCCCTGCCTCCACAGCGAAGCCATAGGCTCCTTGAAAATCGGAAACTTGATCTTTATGTCTGTCAACATTGCACCCACAACAGGATAACTCAGTCGACTCTCCTCTACTGGAACATCATCGAGCTTAGTCTCATCCACATCTAACTCCTATGTTCCCCTCCTAGAGCCATCTTTTTGTATTGATCAACAATTTTCTCCATCGAGCGGTTATTGCTCACACCCAACTTTCTCCGCCGCCCTCTCAGAAAAGGAGACCACGCTGCTGCCCTTGCTGGTAAATCCCACCGTCGTTTACCTCCATTGCCCATCTCCTTCGTTCGATGTTGCAAAATAACAAAAAAAAAGCGCCTACGGCGCCGCTCCTCGACTATGTCGATAGTGGAAAGTTGAACCCTAACGGTGGAGCCGTGGAGGCCACCTTAGAGAGAGAAAGTTAAGTAATAATTGCAATGCTTTTATTTTAAAAAAGTGATTTTAGAGAAAATGTGTAATAGTAAAAGTTGTCGTTTAAGAAAAGAAATGTTTTTGAACAAGTAAGAGTTGATAGTGTTTGATAAAAAATGTTTTTATGTAAAAGAAAACGTGAAAACTAATTTAAAACAATCCTCCACTTATTTTTAATTTTTAAATATTTAATTTAAGCAGAAACAGTCACCTCAAAATATAACTTCACTATTTTAGGACAAAAACCTGGAAGCACTTTTTTAGAGTTTGTGCCGTTCCTAAGAGATTTGTTCCTTTCGTCAAGAGGCTAATAAGGGATTTGCATATGTTTCATCAAATTAAAGATTTCATTTGTGATTCTTCTTTGGGAGTTTTCAACTGCATGCATGTGCTTAAGTGCTTTCACCCCAAGATAAATGTCCTCCTACTTAGAAAAATACTGCATAATACTACTATCTCCGTCCCAATGGACAGAGTAGTAAAAATTATGTTTTGCACTCTTTGAATTATATGAGAAATAAGAATAGTAAAAATTGTGTAGTTGAAGTTTATGCAGACCAAAAAAAAATGGACATAATCACAAAATAGTTACTTTAATCGTAAAGTGATAAAACTTTTTGAGCAATCAAAAAGAGAAAATTGACAAAGTTGAATTGGAAGAGAAAGGATAACTTTGGAAGGGAGAGGATACTTATAAAAGGGAGTGGGAAGCAAAACGATCTTTCTTCAACCAAACTGAACAACCTTTTGCACACCTACCTCGAAATGGAACTCCCCCCAACCTTCTTTTACCCATTATGTGGAAAGGTTTGAGAGCGCAGAGATGAGAGAAACATTGTTATGCGAATAAGGAGAAATAGGAGATCTAATTCATAATCATTTGTGTACATGAGTATTTATACAAGAGTATGAACCGTTAGTCTGTTAATACAGTTAAATTTGTTATAACAAGTATATAAGGCTAACTGTAATAACAAGACTCTAACGATCTTCTTATCTTCACACATTATTATCATCTTCTTTATGGCATCCTTCGTTCAGCCGGCCTCTCTTCTTCCCCACTAATCATTTCCTCCCTCAAAACTTTGTTCATTGGAGAGAGACCCCTGAATCTCACATTTATTCTGCCGATCTTCCAGGTACCTTGGCGTAGATGTTCTTTTGTACGTGAGTTTTTTACATTTTAGCTGTGCACAGATCATTTGAAAAAAAACTCAAAACGTATTGCATGAGACAAAATGTACTAAGCGTGTAAAAACAATATTTAAAAATGAACTTTTTTGCTTCTATAAGTTGGTGTATTGAAACTTCCATTGACCCTTCTGACCTCGTTTCTGACATGGCTTATGGCTAATGTTGGTGCAAGTGCTGCTTGATTTATTTTTGGGTATTTTGGTCAATAGTGACTGAATTTGTATAACATCGAAGAAAAGCTATGAATAGCTTGGTCCAGACTAATTACGATATTGAGTACTGATAATAGGGATGGATTCGGTTCGGGCCACCCGGCCCGGCCCGGTACTGTGCGGGCCCGGGACCGGCCCGGTCGGGCGGTCCGGGACCGGCCCGGTCGGGCGGTCCGGGACCGGCCCGGTCGGGCGGTCCGGGACCGGGTATGGACCCGAACCGATGGGAAGGGGCGGGGTGGGCTCGGTTCTGGATTATTGTGACCCGGCCGGGTCGGGCCCGGGCCCGGGTCTATTTTTTTAAAAAAAAAAAAAATTGGTTTGGGCTACTACTCCTACTAGCCGTTGGGGGTGGGGCTGGGGACAACCCAAACGGTTATATAGCCGTTGGGTGGGGTAAAGGGGGGGGGGGGTCCGGGGGGGTTGGCTGGTGGGGGGGTGGTGGGGGGTAAAAAAACCTATAAATACTCCTAATCTTAAACATTTTTTCATATCTCTTCTCCAATTCTTCCTAAATCCTATTCTTAACTCTCTACTCTCTAATTCTCTTATTCTCCATTCTCCAATATATTATATTTATTATTTATAGTTTATATTAATTATCTACTTATATAAACTATAAATAGATATAAATAGTATTATATTACTTATATTTGTTATCTAATTATATATTACTTATATATTTATTATATCTATTAATATAGTTGGAATTATATCTAATTAATTTGAAGTCATTCTATTACTCTCATCCGAAAGACCGAAAGTCTGAAAGAGGTACGAAATTATTCTATTATTTACACTTGTTTAATTACTAGTTATTTTGCTACATTTGACTCTTGTTTAATAGTTAGATAAATAGTTAATTAGTTTTTTACAATTTTTTATTAATTGCTACATTTGACTCTAGTTTAAACTAGTTAATTCACTACTTAATTGCTACATTTTCAAATTTTGAGAATGCTGATTATGTGAGTTATTTTGCTGGTTTTATGAAGGAAAAGTTTTTAAAATATTATTCACATATTCCGCATATTTATGGTATTGCATTTGTTCTCGATCCTCGTTTTAGACTTGGTTCTTTAGAAGAATGTTTGTATTATTATTATGCTGCTTTTTTTGGTCCATTGCCAATGTATGAGGACAACCCAATTGATCCGAAAAAAGAATACAACGAGGTTAGTGATATATTTTATGCATTATTCAATGAGTTTCATGCACAATATGGCAATGCGCCCCCTCCCCCGACACAAACATCATCTAAAGGAAAATCAATTTTCAAATCTACGTTTGCCAATCTTATTAAAAAAACAAAATCAACTACCGCTACACAACAAAGCACAATTAATGAGATTTCTTTGTATTTAACTTATGATGTTGATTTTGAAGAAGATGATGATTTTGACGTACTAAACTGGTGGAAGGGAAAAGAAAGAATGTTCCCGGTTTTAGCAAAGATGGCTAAGCAAGTGCTATCAATGCCGGTTTCAACGGTTGCCGTGGAACAAGAATTTAGTTCGGCCGGCAATGTTCTAACACAAACCAGAACGTAGGGATGGATTCGGTTCGGGCCACCCGGCCCGTGACCCGGCCCGGCCCGGTACTGTGCGGGCCCGGGACCGGCCCGGTACTGGGGACAACCCAAACGGCTATATAGCCGTTGGGTGGGGTAAAGGGGGAGTCCGGGGGGGTTGGCTGGTAGGGGGGTGGGGGGTAAAAAAACCTATAAATACTCCTAATCTTAAACATTTTTTCATATCTCTTCTCCAATTCTTCCTAAATCCTATTCTTAACTCTCTACTCTCTAATTCTCTTATTCTCCAATATATTATATATCTACTCTCTAATTCTCTTCTCCAAGAAGTTAAGATGGAAAATCAAAATGCCATTATACGGTATAATTTTGATAAGCAGAAGGACCCGAAGACCGGGATGTGGTACGCAATTTGCAAATGATGCGGAAAAAAATGTATCATGGGGGCTTCAGGCGGATTCGGGATGGCAATCAAGCATATGAAGTCATGTGACAAAGCCAAAGGATCGGGAGGTGCGGGAAGTTCCGATTGATTACAATTTTCAAAATGTTTATGAGTTTATCTCTTAAAGTTTGTTTTAATTTTCAAATGTAGTTCCTATTTCATTTCAAATAAATGCAATTGAAGTTTGTTTTTAATACTCGTATAAAACTATAAACTATAAAATATAAATTATAAAAAAAAATTAACCGGCCTGCCCGAACCGGACCCGACCCGTGACCCGGGCGGGTGGCCCGGCCCGAACCGGACCCGTCCAACCCTCAAGCCGGTCCCGGGCCCACTATTTTTGAACCGGCGGCCCGACCCGGGCCCGACCTGGCCTAGGCCCGACCCGGGCCCGACCTGGCCCGAATCAATCCCTACAGGCAGAACGAGGTTGAGCGCTGAATCTCTTGAGATGCTTATATGCTACCACGATTGGTTGAAAGCAGCACGTAGAGCTCAAGAAATTGACATCACTCCATCCCAACACTTTATGGATGAATCTACAACAGAGGGTGGCTCTACCTATGCCGGAGATTCCGATTAAAAACAATTATAGTTCCTATTTAATTTTCAAATGTAGTTCCTATTTTATTTGAAATAAATGCACTTGAAGTTTGTTTTTTAATACTTGTATAAAACTATAAAGTATAAAATATAAATTAAAAAATATATATAACCGGTCCGGCCCGGCCCGGCGGGTGGCCCGACCCGTGACCCGGGCGGGTGGCCCGGCCCGAACCGGACCCGTCCAACCCTCGGGCCGGTCCCGGGCCCACATTTCTTGAACCGGCGGCCCGACCCGGCCCGAATCCATCCCTAACTGATAATAAAGAGTAAAGACAGACGAGGATGCTAGGCTCTCCTCTCATTTGAGCACATTTATTTCACGCATTCCAAGAATAACTAGACAACAATACCCGGCCGGGCTATTTAAGGTAAATGGGTTGGGCTAAGTGTTTTGGACAAGTTTTGGATGTGGGGGTGGGGTGGTAGGAAGTAATTAGAAAAAAAAAAAATAGGAAACCGAGCCAACCCAGCCCAGCTTGGCCCGAACCGGGCAAGGCCCAACCCGGAACAGGTAGCTACCCGAGCCGGTTCCAAGCCTCAAGGTTTTCAAAAAAAACCCGATCACGCCCAGCCCGGTCCACACCGAGTCCATGCTTAACTAGGATTGGGACAGGCCTACACAGTTCACTACCCGACCCGGCCCACTTGATTGGGACAAGGCTCGGTATCCAACCCGATTGAAGGAGCAAGCGGGTTTCAGATTCCTATTTTGGTGGACCGTATCGGTCGATCTGGGGCCAATCTGAGCCTAACATTCAACAATTAATTTTTTTGCCCATTGGGCTGGCTGCTAGGTAGGTGCGGTTGGGTAGTTGGCGAGGTTGGGAGTTTTGGCCTTTTGGGGGTGGGGTTGGAATTAATTCAAAATAACAAAAATAACAAAAAAATTAAGGCCCGCCGCCCACCCGACCCAGGCCCGGTACAAACAGGGCCGGTTCCGGGCCGAGATTCCTTAGTCCCGTAGCCTGTTCGGGCCCGGTCTGTGGCCCAGCTTGGTCCACGCCTAGTCATGTAATTGTCCAAATACTATGTACTAGGTTCTGGATTTTTAGCCAATTTCAGTTTAACTCCACGCTCCGGAAAATAAAATTCACAATATCAACTGAAAATCTGAAATGTGCACACCAATTAATTAGCATGAGGACTCGAGCCAGAGATCATATATTACAATAATAACTTACCACAACTAAAAGGGGTAAAAACAAATAAATTAGCTTAAGAAACATTTAAAAGTTGAGAGAATTCCCTAAATAGAAGTAAAAAAGTTTTGAAATTCCAAAATAGGGGTATCATGTTTTTTATTCCTTGAATAGGAGTAAATTTCCGCCAAGTTTGGCATTACTAGGTTTTAAAACATGGCATTTTTCTCCGAACTTGGCAGATTACTCATATTCACGGAATAAAAAACATGATACTCTATCTCGGAATTTTAAAACGTTTTTGCTCCTATTTAGAGCAATTTCTATTAAAAGTTCAGTTTTAGTTAGATGTTTTAATCAATTCCAAAATCTCCGAAGCCTCTCTTAATCTTCTATCATCCTTCTCTCTGATTCCAACAGCTTGTCTAGTCCTGCATTTGTTTCTTCAAAGTTGATTCATTTATGTTCATGCCACAAAATCTTTCAATGTCAAGATATAAATAAAGAATTCATTCCCAAATACTCTTTTCTCATGTCTTGCTTGCCATGCAAGGTCGAGGGAAAAGAAAGTATTCGTACTTATTTGCTAATGAAACGTCAAGCAGAGCAAGATTAGACACGATCCAGAAGAATTTTTAAGACTCCATTTTATTAGTAGAGTAGGTGGGCAAAACATTTTGTAAAAAAACCCTCTTTTCGAAAGAAAAGCAAAAAACAATAGAAAAATCTTTCTCACTAAATGTTTTCCTATCTCAAAGGCAAAGAAATCAAGAAAACTTCTTTTTCCAAACTTGAAATCAAATACCTTCTATTGTTTAATGCTTTCCGAGACAGCTGTTCCACATGATTGTGTAGCCTCTTTACAATAGCTGGTAACTTGAGAACAGCTTTCATTCCATTTTGTTGTTGGAGTAGTTTCTTCAAAAGCTCAGCAGCAATGAAATACCCCTCCTCTTTGTTTCTGATCAATGTATAAATATTCACATCATAAACTTTCCAATTCAGGGAGGTGGGGAGGCGGGATGAAGAGCTTTGAAGCATTAATAGTCTGTTTGGAACTCAGAATGGCGGGGAAAGAAAATATAGCTATGATTTTTAACGAAATAAAATGTGGGAGAAAGTATAGTTTTGGTTCAAGCTCAAAACTCATTTTATTTAACTGTACAAGAATCAAACAATGAATATAAGAGGAAAATCCAACACAAAAAATAAAGTTCCTTATATCATTCTTTCCCTTCAATAGTGGGTGGAATTCAAAACTTGAAACCTTAGACCAAACCTTAAGAACTCCAAGAATACAGTTTCAATGCAGCCATGGGCAGTGATTAACACTTCAGTCAAATGTGGATATCGGGTAAGGTTTCTGAGGGTGGAGAGCACATGCTTCAGGACTTCCTGATCGGGAATGCTACGGCTGACTGAACGGATCTCCTTTACCAAAATATCAACAGCTCCCGCGGCAACAAGTTCTTCACAACACTTCTGTGAATGCTTTGTGGCCATGTCTAGGGAAATATGCCAATAAAAAGTAACTCGAAGTTAATTAATTCAAATGTGAATATAAACACCTGACAATGCATAATATTTCTAGGGCATGCCCTTTTTAGACTCCAATTCAAGTATGATCTGTATATTAGGTGTTTGGAGGTAATGCTTTGCATGGCTTAGCCTATATATATTGATATTTAAAAAAAAAAAAACTAGAAGTTTAACATAATATTGATCATTTGATCATATAGTAATTCAAACACCTTTTATTTGTTTTCAGATATATTTTATTTTTACAACTTTACAAGCATGGATTAAGCCCTAGCATCCAAAACCCTACACCCAAACAGACCTTGGGAGAATAATCAAGATAATGTAATTATGGTAATGTAACTATATGAGCTCAGTAAAAAAAGCGAAAAAATGATGAGTAGGCCCTTTATCATCATTCATCTTCCTAGTCAGACCTATCCACTAGAGAATCTAATAATTATAGTAGGCCCCTTGTGGCTACTAGAAATCTTGGGTATTCTAACTTCTAATACTGCCATAGTCCTTCAATTTGAAGGACTATGGTAGCCATACTCCCTACATTGCCATATAAAACGTAAGTGGCATCGCATTCCACAATCCACATAACTTAAGTTACTTAACTAGATGTCATATTCATGTGATCTTACATTCCCCTCCAAAATCAGTGAAGGTAATAGAAATAACTTGACAATATACCAAACTCACCTAATGTTGCACAAGTGTGGAGAATGCCACTTACACTCTTCATATTCAGAAGTTCTGATAATGCAACCAAAAGCCTGTTAATTATACGCATGCCATCATCAACATTCATAGCAGACTTTTGCACCCTCAGACGCAAATCAAGAAGCTTTCCTTTCAGTTTTTTCCTCACGAGATAAGCTTTAAAGTATGACTACAAATTTAAAAACAAGCAAAAAAACATGAGCAAATGGCATGCACATTTGTGAGACCAAAAAGAAAAGGTAAGTGTTTTCATTTTATTCATTTCAACAATAATCTAAAGATGATACTGAAGCTGTTTTGTAAACATAGTTGGAAACAACAATTGGGGACTTTGAAAGTCTGTTTAGATTGAGGTTTTGCAGGGATTTAGATATTGGTCAGAAGGTCTGGGAAGGCCTAGTCAATAAACAGAATGCTCCGAAAAATGTATAAAAATGTTATTAAAGTGCTACATGATAACATTTTGTTTCAATCTTTCAATTTCATAAAATCTCAAATAGATAATATAGACCAAATCCTCCACATCCTTCCCGTCCAAAGCCCATCATCCGAACAGACCCTAATGAGATTAAACTTTTGTTTCTACAGCCAGTTAAGAATGATGATGAGCCATTCCAAGTATAGATTGTTCATTTGTTGCCTCAATCACCTTAGGAACGAACAGTAATGCAGAGAAGAAAGATATGCCACTTACTTGGATCACAACAATCATGTGTCTTTTCCATGAAGCCCTCTTCTTGGCAATCCATCCCCGAATATGTGATTGGATAACAACTGCTGACTTTTGTCTTTGTCTATGTAATAAAACAGCCCTCCACAACTCTTGCAGCTTTGTCACTGATTGCAAAAATATTGTCAATTCAGATAGTTTAGTGCTACTTGAAGCCCTGCGATAGCGTGAGGCACCTGCAATATAGTATGATACAATAACAAACTAGTGAAAGAGCTATTTTTGTGTTTCAGTAGCAGTTTGGTCCAGATACTACCTAGAAGCCTCTTTCTAGTGATTTCTCCTCGGACAAGGCATTGCATTATAGTGGCAGCATGTCTCTGGGAAAGGAATGCCTTGTACTGTGTCAGGCGACGGGCAGCACTTTGGATCCTTATAGCAGCCTCCTTCTGTAATGAGAGTTCTTTCCTTTTTATCCATCCACGGCAGTGACTCTAGAAAATGAACAGACAGCACTCATAACCAATCCGTTGAACAGTTCACCTTTATATATGCATGCAACTTTCTAGTTACCACAACGCTGAAGGAAGATATGTTTTACTTATTTAGTTTCACTTTTGGGAGCTCTTATTTTTTTTTGCATCAGTATCTAGGTACCGAATCAAACATAGCGGCCAAAGTTTTTAGGTAGTGACACCATACACAACAATCATGTTTAATAAAGAGTTGAGACATATAACCAAAAGATAACAAATTATTGCACAGTAGAGATTGACTGTCTAAGAGACACGTCGCAGTTTTTGAATAATGTCATGAGTTGACTGTCAAAGACTTCATATGGGCAATAGAAGACTATGAAGAACATTAGAAAGAAGGAGATGAAAAGAGGAAGAAAGAGACAATTGTTTTAGCAATTCTAAATAGCCAAAGGAGACCACGAATAGTGTAAACTATGAAGCATGTGCAGTTGATATAGGGTCAATAATCACCTGAAAGTTAATTATAAGATGTTTACACCTATTATACTTTCTACGAGCTATCCACCCACGAACATATGTCTGAATAGTGATCACTGACTTAACTTCATATCTGTAGCGCTTTAAATTCCTCAAACATATCCTAGAACGTATAACACGCTGGACTTCTGTTGCTGATTGTTTCTTATTAATGAATGCCTTCCTCATTAACCAACCACGCAAGTGAGTTTGAATTTTCAATGCTGCATAATGTCTAGTCTCGAGAGACAATATTTGGTTTCTGTATATTTTCCAAGCACATTGTATAGTTGCTGCTGCTTTTCCTTGATAGACCATGTTTGCAAACATAGACCGTGCTATCCTTCCACGGAAGTACTTCTGAATGACAATGCAAGCATTGATAAGGTGAGAAGCAGAGAAATCGTGAATGGTTTCTACAGGCTTTTTTGACTTCATGCTATCAGGGCCAATAACCTCACTTCCTGCATATTTGTCAAACCATTCCAAATTATTCTTTCTATTCTCCAACTGAATCGATAAGATTAGGAAAATAGATCCCCACCAGCCCAAAAAAGGAATCAAGATTCATCATGCTAAAACGTATTTCTTTATGGTTCAACGCTAATAAATAAAAAATCATACTTATACTTTTAAAATATATTTGTTTTCTAAACTAAATTTAACATATTTACTTGTTTGGAACTTTTAAAATAAACTACATTAGATTCTGCGGATATTCACTTCTTCAGTTGAAACAGAACTCTTATTTAGGAGACAAGATGTTTTCAAACAAGACTTTTTTTAGGAGAAAAAGCATATCAAGAACAGTAGGACATACTATTTGAAGGTCCCTGAGCTTCTTGTTGATCAGGCCTCCGAATTAGCGATTTCTTCCTCAGTGTCAACCAACTTCGTATTACAGCTTGCAAGAAAGACGCAGTCCTCTTCAACATCATATACCGATGTTGCTCAACTGACTGTCTGAAATGAGACTGGATTACTTTTGCTGCATTTTCTGTATCAACATAAAAAATATTTTACAGTTAAAAATAGTCTACAAAAGGGTGTGAGAATTAAACCAAGAGCTTGTCACATAGGTCCATGTATTGACAATATGCAATGCAAGAGGCATTTTATGACTACAGTGAAGGAAGATGAATACCAAAAAGATGTCATTAACTCCTTTCTTTCAAAACTAAGAATATGGACTAGTTTCCAATATATAATAAATCATCATCATCATTACCCCAGTGGCACAAAGGCTCCCACCTACGGTGGGGTAAGGGGGGTCGGATGTACGCAGCCTTACCCTTGTACTAAAGCACAGAGACTGTTTCCGGATGACCCAAGGAAAATATAATACTACCTCTGTCCATTAAAACTTTGTCAAGTTTGAGCGGCACGGGGATTAATAAAGTAAAAACTGTGTGGTAGATGTTTGTGCAGAGGAGAGAGAATTAATTGGAACCGCAAATTCTTTACTTAAAAGGCAAAGTGGCAAAGTTAGTGGGACATCCAAAAAAGAAAGTTGGCAAAGTTTTAAGGGACGGAGGGAGTAAATCATAACGGAGAAAATTAATGGTCTGTGACACATCCATATGTAGATGTCCTTCAATTATTAGATTCACTTCTGCAAATTCTATCAAAGAAAAGGACCACAAAATGGACCAGGGTGTGTGACTACAACACTCTCTACCTACCCTTTTTGCTGATACTGGCTTTTTTGCAGGTCAGTAACTCTCGATGTCTCTGGGTTACTCGCTCCAGATCACACTTATTGTTACGTAGAGCCATATCTTTCCACCAGGACATTACCACCTTGAAGTTTCTGGTAGCATCTTTAATCAAAAGAAAAGCAAAAAAATCAGATGTAAGAAATCAAAAACATTTAGTGACTTTGAGAGAGATTACGCTATATGAGAAATAGGAAGCAGTATTTTATTGCAACATGTAATCGTCTTCTTTTTTCTGCTCAGAATGCAAAAAACAAAAGCAATAGAACTACTACTTTCATTTAAAAAATAGAAATCTTGTTTTTAAAACATAAAATTATATAACAAGCATGAGCCTTTTTTGTGACGGGAAGTACATTGTTGGATATGTAACATAGAGCTTGAAAGAAACAATTAATTGTTTATATAATTATTTCTAGCCATATGAGCCACGTGTAACCAGTAATCAACAATATTTTTTCAAGCACAAAATGCCTAGCAAAAAAATATTCAATCAGTGATGCTAAAAAGACCTTCAGAAGCGTGGATTCTTTCTTCATGCTTCATATCTGCTACCAGATTCAAAAACCATTGGTGTTTGCTTGACTGTCTGCTTTTAGGGTTTTGACAATTAAATCCCAATAACTTATGAAAATTCAGTTGGTCCTGGCAAAAAGTGAATTAGAAAAAACAATGAAATGACTTCCGAAATCTGGACCAAATATTCTAATATTATTTCATGAAGAATGGATTACAATTTACAAATGATACCATGTTTCTTCTAACAAGCAGTTGAAATGAGAGAAATGCCAAGAGTATGATCACACTTCTGTCATTGCAGGCACCATTACTTTCAAGAATGTCACTGACTTGTAAGACCTGCACAGTATAGACTTATGCACAAGTTTAGGAGGAGATGAACAAATGCTGACAGAAATGTCTCATTTAGGATAACAGCTGAAAAGAAGAAGATGCAAATCTCATAATGTATCACTATTTTTCCATCAACAGCAACAATGACCGGTTGTGCCCCTTACCTAAGCCATGAAGGTTTATGTTCTTTAGCTGTTATCTACTTTTGTGACTTTTTTACAAGACAAACGAAATTTAGGATCAACCCCTCCACCAACATTATTTCAAACTTTATATTGCGTTCTTACCTCGGGAAACTTCCCCAACAGGGATGGCAACTTTTGGGATAAGACAAAATTGTGTACTGCATCTGTATAATCACTTGGAGATACTATGGAAACTTTGTCTGCTTCACTACATGCCTGTAAGAACACAAAAGAAATTAGCAACACAACCTATTGCAGAAATATAATGCTGTATAAGGAAGGATGGAGATTGGAGAACCTTAAATGAACAAGAACAACGTAGTTCCTTCCGGAAGTAAAAATCGAGCAAGCACCACATAGCTTTTCCATCAATCAATGAAGAAAAAGCCTCAACCTTAAGATCATAACTCTCGCAAACTGCCTAAAATAATAAGATGTGTAATTTTTAGACTGGGCAGAGTGTGTGTGTGTTTGTATGTTTGTGTGTATTAGCAAGAAAGCATATGCACTAGTGCAAGGAATTATACTCTTAAACTCTACGGTCTTAGGACAATGTGCTTACGTATGTACTTGACAGGCAGAAAAGTGCAGTATGGTTTGTACGAAATGAATTCATTTGCATATTGGGAGCTCAGAGCACTAAACAAAAGTTATTAAAAGGGCCCGTTTACAGAGATATTTTCTTGTTTTCTATTTCTGTTTTCCGTTCTCAAATTTTCTCTTTTCCGTTCTCAAATTTTCTGTTTTCATTTTCCTGTATTTCTATCTCCAATTTTCTGTTTTCATTTTTTAGTTTTCCATTTTCAAATCTGAAAACATGTTCATCAATTTTTTTCACCTTATTCTGTGACCGACCAGAAAACCGAAAGTACGATACCAGTCCGGAACCGAACTTAGTACAACCCAAGTAAGGTAACAGGTCCCACGGTTAGTTTGATGATTTCTTTTCTCATTTCTCTACTGGTCGACAATTCAACGGCTCTTTAAAATCTCTTCACTTTAAAAATGATTTCAAAAAACCGAGACCAAACCACCAGGTCATTGACCGGCCCGGACAGGGACCGTCAAGTCATTGACGGGACTAGCCCGGGACTGGCCCGGGACCGCCCGGTTGTCGAACGGACCGAACAAGACCGTCAGGTCATTGGCCGGACACGATAGGGACCACCGGATCATTGATCGAATAAGATGGGACTGCTGGGTGGTCGACTGGACACAACGGAGACCACCGGGTAGTTGACCAGGCCGGACGGGGGCAGCCGAGTCCTTGACCAAACCATATCGGACCGGGGCTGCCCGGCCGCCGACCAAACCGAACAGGTACCGCGTGGTAGCGGATCGGACCAAACAAGGACCGTCGGGTCATTGATCTGATCGGACAGGGATCGCCGGGTCATGGACTGGATCGGGATCGTTGAGTCGTCAACTGGACCGAACCGGGATCGTCAAGTCATCGATCGGATTGGACCGGACAGGGGCAGCCGGGTCGTGGATCGGATCAGACAGGGACCGTCGGGTCGTCAGCCATATCGGACCGGGATTGCTCAGCCTTCGACCGGACTAACAGGGACCGCCAGGTCAATAATCGGACCGGACCGCCGGGTCATTGACCGAACCAGATAGGGATCGTCGAGTCGTTAGGCGGGCATGACTAGAACTGACACCTGAGTAGGACCATATTCACCATTAGGCGTAAGTATGCAAATTCATTGAAGTGGCACTGCATCATCCGCGTTTTCCAAATTTGGAAAACTAGTAAAAGTCACTTCTTCAATTCATTAAGGAAAACAAAGACATCTCATTTTTTTGGTTTTGAAAAACGATTTGATAAACGCATTTCTCTGTTTTCCTTTCTCCAGTTTTCCAGCAATTTTCTTTGTTAAACACGTTTTCTGTTTTCCTTTTTTCAGTTTTCCAGTTTTCCAGAAAACTGGAAAATATCTCTGTTAGTAAAAAGTCATGTGTCTCATAAGAAGACATGTCCACAAAAAACAAAATAATCTTTTCTAGCACTGGGGAACAGACTGACGAATTTTTTCCCTGTTCACTTTTCTGGCTCCTACTTCTAAAAACAATTTTTCTTTTAATGAAGCAAACAAGTTATTTAATGCACTCTCAAGGACTTGATCTAATATTTCTATTTTGAGAATTATAGAGTCAAATATACAAAATTGATACTTGTATTAATAAACTAAAAGTAAAAAATGGTGATAGATTAACAAAGACACACTACAGAAGTACAGATTAACTACATGAATATTACCTGGATCCAGCACAGAAGCATGTCCAAATGTGTATGACCACTTGAGTATTGCTGAAAACCAATAGAAGCAGGCATACTAAAAACAATGTTGCAAATCAATAACAATACAAAATATCCGAGACGTACCCCCTCAACTCCTCGTATTTTACGAATCTCCTCAGCCAGAAGTGTCTTGTTGATTAGAAGTGGCAACTGCACATTGGTGGCATATTTCATAAAAGGTATGGTAAAACTATACTGAATTGCACTACAGAAGGTAATACACTCTTGATAAGAAAATTGTCTATGGATTGAAAACATCCACTAAAAAGTAGAACACCTGTAGGTGCACAAACATGTTCCATAGAAGGGAAAGGATGAGTTCCTTATCTTCATTAACAATATCTTCTGCACTTATAGTAGTACCATCTTCATCTAGTAATGGTACTCCAGCCTGTTCCACACACTGCAGCACTGCACTACAGTTACTCAAACATTTTTTGCGGGTGTCTGCTGGAACCACTATTTTCTGTTCAAAATGAAAACAAGAATTAGTAATGCAACATGAAAATAAGTTCCAATCACCATAACCATAGTCAATGCTTATTATAACCTTAAATAATAATTGAAAGTAGGAGAATTTTAGAAAAGGTAGGAGTAGAGGACAAAGTCAAAAGGCAACTGACCATTAAGATAGAGGGATCATGCTGCAACAGCTGAACAGCTCTACTAAGTTGAACACCATCGTGAAGATCTTCAAATACATCTACCACCTTGAATTGATACTCAACAAGAGGATTCTGAATATTTAAAAAATTGTTATTCTATCCCCACTTAGATTGAGAACCAATTTCTATGCCCCAATAGAAACAAATAATATACAACCACCAAATTAGCCAGAAGAGGTGGCTTGCCTGATGATAAGCCACTTTAAACCCCATAATGACTAGATGCGAAAGAAGGTTACCCTCGCCATGCATCACATCCGAAGATAAGAACTCTATTTTTTCAGGAAAGATGAAAATACAATGAAGATAATTGGAAGTAAACTGCAAATAAGAGATGAAATTATAAAGAAACATTCAGAAATTACCATTTATAAGTTGATTGCTAGATTTAGCATGTGATTGTGAAGAGAACAACAAAGGGGATCCCCCATCTAAACCATCAATACCATATTTACAAGGAAGACTGCTTTGACATTTGATTTTGTCAAGTGCAAGAACAAGCAATACAAATCTCTTCAAAATGACATTCCCCAACTTCTCATAGTAGCCTGGCCTGAATAAGCCCTCGACCAATTTGTTATAGGCATAGGTTTTCGCTAAATCGGCATGTGAGAGAAACTGCTTCTCAATCAGCAACCTCAAGAATGCAACTTCTTCCTCATAATTGGTATCTTCATTTGGTAACAAGGACTCACCACCCAATATTATATACAACCCAATCCGAAGCCAAATGGGGTTATAACACATGAGAGTTTTTATGGCTTTCTCTTTCAGTCCAACATCAGTAACAATGGGACAATGAGCCTTCATTTTGAATCTTCCTTCATCAATATTCTGAATAAATGGCATTTTAAGACAATTAAAAAACCCAATAGTCATATGTAATATAGATTATAAAACAAAACTGATTGTGATAACAACTTATTGTATATGCTACATGTATTTCTTAAACAATAATTGACAGGAAAACACACTAATACTAATAAGGTGGGCTGTCATTCACACAATCTAAATAATCATTGGTTAGCCAATCTAACTGGACTACTGGATACAGCTAAGTACGAGTACCTGACCTATGATCTACTTAAAGAATCTCAATGATACTATTAAAGTTATAGGCCACTCCAATTCTATTACTTACTATTACTCAGCGATTTAGAAAGAAGTAAACCTAAAATTAATGACAACCTAATTTCAGTGTTACTTTATAAACCCAAAAGTTTGGCTAAAAAGCGTGGCAGACCTTGACTACTTGAGTCATGATAGAGAATATTTCCTTACAACTTCCCAAGCTTAAGTAATTCCTCATCCTATCCTTCAAATCATCAAAACTGCAAACATCAAGCAAAGAAGCTTTCAACTCAGCGAACATGGAATTCTGAAACCCCCCTATTTCCTCGTTTCCAATATCCTTCCGAAATATGTTTCTCTGCCTCTTGGGATCCCTCCACGGTTCACCATCCCCAACCATGCACACAGCTCTACTCTCTCTCTTACCATTAAGCACGACCTCGGCCTCACGCTCACCAAAACACTCAAGCCCTTCGGTGAACCTTGATACGTCACAGCCACAAGACCTAGCATTCTCAAACAGGAAGTTCAACCAAACTCCAAGCGACTTTGCTAATGATTTGAGGGATTTTTCCTTGCTGGTCAAAGCTTTCCGTGCTGATTTGGACTGTTCGAGTTCAAAAATTTTCAGCTTCCGCGCTGCTGTTGTCTTAGCGACGAAACTCTTAGACGCGCGGCGCCCGGCGCGAGCAAATGAAGCGGGTGTGACTTGGGAGGGAGTGAAGAATTGAGGAGAAGATTGGAAGTTGAAGGTGCGTAAAGGAGGCCTTGGGGTTTTGAAGGCCGAAGGTGATGGCGAAGGACAAGGTTTCAGCTCCTGTCTCCTTCCTTCCATCTCTGCATCAGTTTTATGGAAATCCAAGTACTGCGACTCCCTCTAGCTTTGCTTTGGATGTCCGAAAAGAGAAAGTTGAAATGGGGGTTCAAATTTGAATTCAGATTTTGGCGGTCTACCAGCCCAGCATCCGGACTCGATCGCGATTACAGCATACCGTAAGTCATTGGGATAAAAAAAGAAAGGGATAATTTGAGTTTAACCTTTTGGGTGATATTTACTTTCCACCCCATTTTTAAAATATGCACCCCATTGTGAAGGAGTGGGATGCAAAGTCAAATGATTTTATAGTGAATTAGGGTGCATACATTAATGACTTTGAAAATAGGGTGCAAAGTCAAATATCATTCAAAACATGGGGTGTAAAATCAAATTTTCCCAAAAAGAAATTGATCTCATTTTGAATAAAGAACATTTTGTGACTAGCCAAATATCATTCCAATGAGGTAATGGATTGGAGTAAAGTTTATACTAAGTGGCATAGGAGAGATAGAGACAAGATGATTATTTTAATTTAATATGGAGTAATGGTGTGTATGAAAAATGAAATGGAAGGAAGAGAGAGGTAAATTGTAGACAATGTCTATGACAATGTCCACAAATAGACTTTACACGGGAATCGGGGAACAAAAGTGGATGAAAAGTGAATTAGAAGTGATATAAAAAAATGAAAATTATAATAAATATGAAGATATGTAGGTCCTATACATAAAATTCGTGAGATAAGAAATGGGACGCATGTGTAAGAGAATAGACATCCTCAATAGAGATGCTCTTAAAATAAAGAGTATCATACGAATGGATGGCTTCAAATATCCCCGACTCTGATTTCATTTATTATTATTAAATTTAATTTATTGTAAAAAAAATTATTACGTATATCAAAAAATTAAATATTTTTTCTATATAAATAGACACTAATGAAGGATATGTTTAGACACTTTAGTCACTTCTAAATTTACCACTTTTTTCCCTCTTGCATCTTATTTTGTCTGTTTTAGAATATTTTTTCTCTGAAAATGGATCTAACTCGTTTTCTACCTAGATACAATGCCAACAATAAATAATTATAGTGAGTCAAATGTGAATTTTATATTCCTTTTTTAAATTAAATAAATTAATATGGTGGAATATATTAAAAATATGGAGAGAGTGTAAAAATTTAAGTGATCTAAGTCACCATAGTGGAGACAAAATGTGATAAGTTAAAAGGGGATGAAGTTTATGATAGAAAATGACATAGAAGAGAGAGGATGGGATCACATGGCACCGTTAAGGCTGGGTCTCTGGTGCGCACGGGAAAAAGGTCTATCATCATTGAGCCGACTGAGTCACCGTGATTAAATCCTCCCAAAAATCCTGTTGGGTAAGAGTATGGGGGGCTCCTCGGGTGGGAGATTCCACCTTTTTTGGACCAAGGGGTCACATGGCACCAGCACGGTGATGTTAGAATAGTTGGGCACGAGTGTTTTACTACCTTCGTTCCCATTTTAACTTCCAAATGCTTTTGACACAAAATTTAAGATAGTGAATATTGTGTGGTGGAGAGTTGTGCAGAGGAGAGAGAAATGTGTAAGAAATGTTGTGAACCACAAATTCTTTACCAAAAAAGGAAAGTGGAAATTTTAATTGGAACGGACGAAAAAAGAAAGTTGGAAGTTTATTTAGGAACGGAGGGAGTAGTTTGTATTGGATTGGTCCGGTACAAATGGATGTGTAGCTCTGAGGGGAAATCCCTTGCGTTCAAAGCCCTAACACAATAAACCAAAACCTCCAACATTGCAGCAAAATACTTGCATAAAAGCCGATCTCATCTCGTGCAAATAGTTCTGGAATGAAAATATTGTCCGTCTACTCCATTTAGACTTGATGGTGACGAAGAAATGGGAGAGACTAAAGCCTTGTTTGGTTCAAAAGAGGGGAGGGGAGGGGAGAGTCAAGGAGGAAAGGGAATGGAAGGGGAAGGAAGAATTTTGATAAAAATTTGTGTTTGGTTGGAGGAAATAGGAGGAAAGGTTTAATTAAAATATTTTCGCAATTTACTTTTATTTGATAGCTTACTTCAAAAAATAGATATATGTCTAACTATTGTGAATATTACTCCTATGGTCATGAGTCCTAACTTTAATTTATTTGATTTTTTACTTTTTTAATTTTATAATTTTTCATTTTTCAATTTGGATTTTTTGATTTTTTTATTTTTATTTTTATTTTATTTTATTTTTAATTTTTAAAATTTTTAATTTATAATTTTTATATTTTTTAATTTTGAAAATTTTTAATTTTTTAATTTTTTAATATTTAAATTTTTAAATTTTTAATTTTTTTAATTTTTCAAACTTTTTGTTTTTTTTTACCTTTTTATATTATAACATTTTGTTCATTCACGTAGGAGATGGATAGTTTGTTGTTATCAACACGTTTCCTTCGAAATACACCGATTTGGGGGGTTTAGAAAGTCTTTCCACCAGGGCGGGTTTTTTTTTTTCAAATTGTTGGCCCGGAACCGGCCCGGGTTGATACCGGGTCCGGGCCTAACCAGGCCGGGCCCGGGTCAAGGTATTTTTTTTTTTGCTTTCTAATTAACCCCCGACTCCCCCCCCCCTCACCCCCTCACCCCCCAAACCGCCCCAAAACACCCAGCCCTAACCAAGAAAAACAAAAAATTAAAAAACCTAAAAAAAAAAGCTTGGGCCCGGCCCGAACCGCCCGGGCCGGTTCAACAAATATAGGGCCCGAGCCCGCCCCGTCCAACCCTCCCCAATCGGGTAAAAGCTTGAGCCCGGTTAGCACAAACCGGGTCGGGCTGGTCCGGGCTCGCACAATGGCGGGCCGGGCCGGTTCTGGGCCGGGCCGAACCGATTGGGTCCATCCCTAGTTCCGAGCGTGAGTAGAAGTTCAAAGGACAGGTTCTACGAGAATTGATTGAGGTACCGTTCAGTAAGGGTATAATAGGGTTATTTAAAAAAATGTATCTCATCCCAAAAATGTGCGTAAATTAATGAATAAGAGGTTGTGTATAGAATTTCTCTATTGAAAAATGTGCAACACTTGCCACTTATGGGCATGCTAACATATAATATCAAAATAAACGGTCCAACTCTTATCTAGATAGGTATGTGTTTGAGAATCCTAATATTCTTCACATATTAACCGTGTCTAATGTTTAGATATAGTCACTTTAGAATGCCCTTCTCGTGTATGTGATATGTTAGCTGCAATTTCTCCCACTACATGTACCTCAAGAATAAAAAAACTACCTTTGATTCTCAGAGATGACACGTCATCCTTAAGAGTCATCAGAATTCAGAATTGACTGAACAATTATTTGAAATGATATAATCTTAAACATTAGAAGGCCTACATCACATCACATGCGGTTGAACTCTATTAATAAAACTTAATTGGATAATTTTATTCAATTGGAGAAAGACAACCCAAATTTTATAATGACCTACATCACCCTTTAAGCAAGGAATACCTTAGATTAGGCATGGATCCGGTTCCGGTGTCAAAGTAAGGAAGATCGGGTTCGAACGGGATAAATTCGATTCCAAACCAATCCAGTCCACGGGCGATTCGGTTCTGGACCAGACCCGTTCTGATTCTATATATTATGTCATCTACAAGGCTAAAAAGTGGTCAAACCGGGACCGCCCTTTACCCGGTTCGGTCCAGTCCGACAGTACCAGTAGTATTTAGTTTGGAGAGGAGGGGAAGGCTAATGAGGGTTTATGACCCTCTTTTTCATGTTTGAGAGTTTAAAAAATTGGAGGGGTGATTTTGGAGTGCTTTTTAACCCTTCAAAACCCTTCAAATGCTTAATTTTTAAGTTCCCCCAAATTTGGAGAGTTTTGGAGGATAATTAAAAAGATGGTAATTTAAGCTAAATTAGAATTGAATATCAGCTCAATGATTTGAATTTGTGATATCTCAAAATGATTTTAATTATAATTCGTTCAAAAACATTCCCATTTCAATTTTATTACTCCCAAATACAAAGAAAGGTTTCTCACCATCCCCTTCCTTTCTCCTCCAACAACATACCTCCAAAGTCTTCCTCTTCCCTTCCCTCCAAACTCCCAAACATACCCTAAGAGGACAGATAATAAAGAACGGAGGGAGTATATAAATGACTTTAAAAAGCATTTCAAAAATATTTTTGAAATAAACTTATTTACAAAAATACCACTAAAAGTTACTATGGTATAATGACTTGGTCACTACACATAAGCCATCAGTTTTTATAAATAACTTTTATAATAGTAATAAATATCAAATTATTTCATATATTTATACTTTGACCCTCATTCCATTTATAGAGGTGGTGTTAAATTATTTTTTAGAATAAAATACCTTTATATATAACTGAGGAAAAAATATTTGAGTGGTGTCCATTGACAACATTTCATTTATATTGACTATTGACGTTGTCAAATTGGTTTTTAGAAAATTTAGATTATTTGAGTCCATGTCCACTTAGGGATGGATCCAGGCCGGTCCGGTTCCAGTTCCAGGCCGGGCCCAAACGGACTTTTTTTGCAGATTGTTGGGCCCAGAACCAAGCCAAACCGGGCCAAGCCCGAGTCTTTTTAATTTTTTGTTTGCTTTCTAATTAATCCACGACCCCCCTCCTCACCCCCACCCCTCAAACCTCCCCAAAACACCCAACCCTACCCAAGGAAAATTTAAAAAATGGAAAAAACAAAAAAATGAACCAAGCCCTGCCCGGCCCGTCAGGTCCGCCAACAAGGGCTAAAAGCCCGAAACCGCCCATCTGATCCCGATCCAATCCGGGGGTTGCACAGTAGCGAGCCGGTCCGGTTCACAGGCCAGTTTGGCCCGGTTAGATCCACCCCTATGTCCACCCCTACCTTGGATATCCTCGTTGAACACTCGTATTTCGTGAAATGTTGCAATGTTTTTCTAGTTTCTTTAAATTAATAATTCTCTCAAAGGGTCAAAAGTGATATTTCAATCCTTGCATATGAAAATTTAGATTGGAATCTTCAGAAAAAACATACTGTTTTCAATTTTCACCATTGACTAAAAGCAGAAAATTGTGTCCAAAGTCACCGTAAAATAGCTGGAAAATACTTTTTTACACCAATCTTTACACCAACGCCACTTTAACACTCAATACCCCTTTTTATATTCACACAACACGAACATAAGAAGGTTATGTACGCTCACATAGTCACACATAGTAAAGACGAATGCAGAAAAAACGTGTGCGTCAATATGTGTACAACTATAAAATGTACACAAATCATGTACAAATAGTGAGCCCAAAAGAGCTCAATCCACCAATTCTTACCAAATATGATGAAAAAGGATCCCACAAAATCAGAGCTTTTTGCAAAGGTGAAATATCAAGAATTTCATGTTCATAGTTGTTATTTGTCGGGGGTCCTCCGGGAGGGTGTGCCTCAGACAGTGCAATTACTGCATTATATGTGAAGTTAGTCATTGTAACCTCATATTTGTTGTTTGTCCAGAATGTACACCCAATAGGCACAAACTGGTTCTAGGCTTATACTAAAAGCACATCCACCTATATTCTCCAGGATTCTTTTTCTAGTCTACTCGGGAAAACAAGCATTGCTCCACCGAGGACAATAAAGACTTGTTTGGTTGGGGGGGGGGGGGGGGGGGGGGGGGATAACGAAGGGAATGGTGATTATATTTTACGTAGTATTAGTTTTTTTACATTTAGATTTTTGACAATAAAGGAAGATGAAATTTTATATAGAATTACATCATTTAACAAAAAGCAAATAGTTATTTATTTCCTAGTCTAGGACCGACAGATAAGAGAAAACAATTATAACAAAAATTAAACCTCCCCTCTCAAATCCTCCAACCAAACTCACTCTTAGTGCAGCTAACGTATGGGGTTGTATTGTGCAGATGCTCTTTTGGGGGGCAGTTTGCGCAGTATGTAGAGAACAAGAGCGGAAGGAAGAATCTCCACTAGCTGTGTTTACAAAAAAAAAAGAGTTGAGTAGGATCACTTGATCAGTAACAAGAGTGATTCAATATTAATTAACTGATCAAGGAACATTAGAAATTCCACTCCATGCATACCACATAATATATGAAATTCGTCACTGGATGGTCCAATACATCGAGTGATGCATCAGAATCAAAAGCAGACAATACAACCTGCAGAAACACAAGAAATCATATGCAGGAGCATCTATATGTGGGATCTATAAGTTAAGAACCCATATGGTAGGAGAAGTTTTCTGCCAAACCAGCTTTATAAGTGATAATTTCTACCAAACAGGAAAGCATTAACTTATTAGTTGGCTGAATCGAATCATAATAGAGAGATAAGTGCTAACAATTCTTCTTTTTAAATGAGTGAAATGACACTTTAACCTTTATTTTTTTCATTAATTTATGAAATAATTAATTATTCTTTAGATAAATAAACTCAATAGTTATTTCAGCTACACTTTCATTACCGACCTCCAAATCAACAATTTCACACTTTTAGCCAAAACTTACCTTTACCAAACAGGACTATATTGTCTTTACGGCCTCAACATCGGAAATTTAGGCTCCCTGTGGTAGCTTCATCTGCCTTATACAGTTATTCTGCTTATCACTAAAGTAAGCAGAACACAGCTTTTATCTTAATACCTAGGCTGAAATTGATTTACCAATATGCTTTTCATTTTTTTAATTCCTCAGGACGTTATTGTATAACGCCGCGGTTGTTCCTAGTCTTGCTCCTTCCCGTGTTTTACTCCATTTACTCTTGCTCCTTCCCGTGTTTTAAGGTCGCTGGTTGTTCTCACTTTTTCTTCGAGTTTTGTTTGCTTATGCAGACAACATATTTTTTACTGTATGTTGTTTTATGTATAGTATACTTCTGCTACTCTTGCTTTCTTTTCATGTTCAGCTGGAGTCCATTTATCAAATCTTTCAATCTTTGCTAGTAAACGTCTGATATACATTATTTTACCAAATATTACCTATTTTATGTTGATTTTCTACTTTTCTCTGTGAAAATTTACATTGAACATTTCTTCTAGATAAATAATCTATTGTTTCTTATTGATATGGCACAACTAGTGGCCTAGTTGTGGTCGGTTGGTGCCTAGCCGCCAAGTGACATTGGGACATATTCATTGGGAGATAATCATGTCTAACTTTTACCAAATTTCATTCTTTAGTAGCGTAAAGAAACATGCTCTTCTTCCTTCAGCATGCCCATGAAACATAAAAAAGAATCTTGTTCCAACCAAAAATATCTAGAAAAATGTCAAAGGCAAGAGATAATTGTCTAAATTGAAGTCTTACCACAAAACATCTTATGACAAAACAAGTGAAACATATGGCTGTTACAGATCCAACCTGCAAAATAAGTTAAGTAAGGTCACAATGGACAGCAGTTCAGTTCATATTTACTATAAGCCTCAAGATATAAAAATATTATCAACAAGACCCGCCAAGTAGCCAGTAGAAAAATATAGATATACACAGACCTCATGAAGCTTCTTTCTTCTTCCTTTAGACTCAATAGGAAAGCGTCTCAGCATGACAAATAGCCTACAACAACAACATCCAAGCCTTAGTCCCAAAAGATATTGGGGTCGGCTAACATGAATCGATACATGATATCACAACCAAAAGGAAAAGAAAGAAAATAAAGATAAAAAAGATAAGCTATTATAAAAAGATAATATAAAAAGAGATGAATATACAAATGTAACGGTAAATGAATAAGCCAATAAACTAACAGATACAAAGAATAACAATACTGCATTTGGAAACTAATGAGGTCATTTACCTTCCACCATAGAACAAGAATCCCAAGGCTGCTATGAGTGAAACAACTGGACACAGAAAAATGATGATAAACATTCCAACCAAGCTCAAAAAAGGTAACCATCACCACTTCTTAGACTCTACAAATGACAATTTCAACCATTATCCAATTTGATTTGGATGACATAAGACTATGACTTTACTCCACCCTGAATTTCTACAAAGAATCAAAGATAGGATTGCGTGTAATTGTACACGATTAAGAAACACTACCTCTGTCCCAAAAAATAAAAGAGCACTATTTGGTCAAGGTATAATTTTTAATTGCGGCGAGGTATGAATCTTAAAACTCATGTAATCCAACTTACCTTTTTTATTTTTTTCTGCCTACATTAATCAAATTGAACTTGTTTGTAACCATTATTTTTGGAAATTTTCATCTGTTATACTGACTGGAATTCTTTCTGGGACAAACAAAATCATTTGAAAATGACTCTTTCAGATGGGGGGGATTGCTAAGTATGTTGAAAGGACCAATGTTGTATGCAATTCTCAATTATACTATTTTATTATTTTGCAAGGTTGATTAATCAAATACCACTATCTCAGAATTCTGGAAATGATAAGTTAAAAACTTAAATGCAGACATGATAAAAACGAGACTATCTTTCAAGGGTGGACAACAGAAAGTACAGACCTAATGTGTGCATAACTGCATATGAAGGAGTATAAAAAGTTACCTGCTATAAATATCTTTCCAAAAAACTCTACCGTCTGATTCTCATTGATCCAAAGGTACACCCATATACCACCTTGTATGATGTATATTACACCATTAATTGATATATAAAGGACTCTGAGCTTATCAGTTGGCAAACTTCTAGCCTGACAATATGTAATAAGGGTAAAAAGTTAATAAAACAGCAAAAGATGTATCGTCTTTGCAAGAAGTTCCAAGATGAGCAACTTTACTTGCCTGGTGATATATTTCTGCCCAGAATAAGACAAGAAGTGTATATGTTGAGAAGAAGAGCAATCCAGGGAGGTCCAAAAGCGCCAAAGTTAACACCTTTTTTAAATACATTGGAAAGGAGCCAAAGTTAGCACCTGGTTAGTATAGCATGAACCCAAAATATGTCAAAAAGGAAAACAATAAAGAAATGGCTACAATGCGCTATGTTTTTCAGTAGGGTCGTCAAATTTTTAATAAACCACAAACAGTGCATTTGCTACAGCTTATAGTCTAAATTATAAGCTGTTTTTTCATAAAAGTTGCTTGGAAAAGAAATTGTGTTCGGGAGCATCGACTGAAATTAATAAACTACACTCAGCTTATTTAGAACAAAACTATCATATTTAATCTGAAATTTTGTTAATTATGATTTTTTTCAGCAGCTAGTTTTTTCCCAGCTACTTTCACACCCTTCTACCATGTAAAAGCATATTCTTTGTTCACCCAAACAAAATTAATTACTCTGCATTCTCAGACCACTTACGGCCTTACGGGCAAACCTACTGAAGTAAAAAATGATTCAGGTTATATTTGATCACAATAATAACCAATTATACATATATTTGATTATCAAAATAATCTAATACTTCAGCAATTCCAAGCAAGCTCAAAGTCTTCAGGCACAAGGATAATGAATACATCAAGATTGAAGAGTAAAAAATGGGAATATAAAACTATCACAAGGGGATTGTTATTCGAGAAAATATATTATTGATTTATGCCTTACAGTTAAGAAACTTGAATATAACCTTCCCATTTTTGCATATTTTACACATATGAACAGATACGATTAGTTTGGGAATGGGATTCATTCTTAATGATTAAACACCTAACTAGAAGAAACCAACTAACAATGAGTCACTGATGCAATAAAAATTTGAGAACTGTTCTTGGGGAAGTATTGATATATACCTTCGGGTGGAAAAGAAAGACTTGTTTGTGAAACCCAAAGATAATAGCACGAACTGTACAATGAAGAATCAAACATAAATAAGTTGAAAAAGAAAAGGTCAGGGATGAAAGTTGAAATTATTGCCTTATTTTACCTCCATTTACAATGAAATTCATGATATGAAAGACCTTTTGTGTAGTCCAGCCAAACTCAGGCACTCTCAGTTCAATTCTAATCAATTGAATCTGCACAGTCCTCTCAAATAGTTGTAAGTCATAAAAACCAGATGCAAGAATAAATACTCCGTGTATTTAGTAATAAGAATCTTCCAAAGGTTGAATTCCCAACCCCAAGGGCCCCCAAGCCCTGACCCGACAAGGCATTTGGAAGGTTGTAAGTCACGGTGACTCAGTTAGCCCACAATGGTGGTAGACCTTGTACCCGTGCGCACCAGAGGTCCAGCCCAGCACGCAAGAGCTATAACCTCCACATGGTCGCTGCAGGTTTTGATCCTTGGTCAATCTTCCAACTTTCGCACCACTCAATCAACTGAGCTACTCATGCGGGTGTATTTTGTTATAAGAAACAAATAGCAAAGGGTTTTACATGATGAGTGGGATGTAAGTAAAGCAGTGCATTAATTCATGTAGCAATATGAATAGGATATTTAAATATAGTCTTTCTTCTCATGGATCTATCATTTACAGAACAAAAGCTCCCATGTAATCTTAGTTATGTAGATACTATATTCAAAATAAGGCTTGATTTTATCCAAACTCTATTGCTAGTACTGTAGCTTGAAAATCATGAAGGAAACAATGTTTTTTGTGCTTAGTAAAGGAACATACTGATAATTGGTGTACGGCTGTACGCATTTGAGATTCTAGAGCTACAGAAAAGACTAATTGCAGAGCAATGCACTTGTCAATACATTGTTAACCATGGGTGGAGAAATCATAATTAGAAGCAAGTCAACTATCTTTGTCCCATATTTACTTTTTGTTAGGTCCACCAAGTTTGTCCGATACCGCATTTGGTAAAGTTTGTATGGTTGTAATTTATTCTTCATTCCTACTTTATCAATTTAATAGCAACCACATAAACCTACTTTTTGAATTATCACACCACTTCATCATGTCCCAATCTTAGTTGGATGGAGGCGGTGTTTATGAAATTGATATGAAGCATAATTATCAATTTCCAATTAGTTCTGCGTAGGATTCATAGCTGTGTCTATGAAGAAAAATGAATGATGGTACCATAACAAATTGGGCCATTACATCACCAAACAAACAAACAAAACCGTATTAGCATAAAATAACTTCACCACATGAAAGCCTTTATGAAGTTTTCTGATGAGACTATTAGCTATTCTAAAGTACTGTAGGACGTTCCTAGACCTTCAAGCTAAAAAACGCCACAGGGAAAAAAAAGCAAAAAGGAGCTAAGAAAAAGCTATAACTCACCATCTTTACTGGCAGCGATTATAGCATAAACATCATTTAATTCAACTCTAAACGATGAAGGACCCAACACGATTCAATTTGGTTTCAATAACCTATAAATTTTAGTTAGTTATAGCATCTCCAAAATAAATAAATCTTCGAGCTCAAAATATTGGGATTTTCCCCAGAATACATGAATAACCATTGATGCATAACACAGAGAAGAAGAGCATCGTGTGCATAGGAGATGGAAGGTATAATACATACTAGGGCAACGGCAGAGACGAGAGCGTAGGCACTACAGAGTGAATAAAAGATCCCGTCTTGCCATTTTACTGATGCGTTTATCTTGTCCCACCAGTTCACCGGCGGTGACGACACGACGCCGATGATGAGATAAGACGGCACACTACTCATAGCCTTCTTCCCTTGGCTTTGACTGAATCTCCGACCTTCACTTCTCTTCCCCGCCAATGTCAAAATGAAGGATACTGTAAAAGTGCATTGTACTCAGTAAAAGTTTCGTCGAGAGTAAGAGTAAAGAGTGACACTTTTGGTATTGGATTTTTAATTTTTCTATTTTTAGTCCTCGAGAGAGACACTTTTGGTATCCGTCTTTGAAAATTTCCATATTTATTCTTTCGACTTTTGTAAAAATGACTCTTTTAGTCCTTCAACTATTGCAATAGAGACATTCTTAGTCTTCCACTTATTTCAAAATCATAGTAGAAGGACTAAAAACGTTAATTTGGTAATACTCAAAGGACTAAATGTGGGAAACTTGAAAGTAGAGGACTAAAATGTCTCTCTCACAATAGTTGAGGACTAAAAATTGATAAATTAAAAGTCATGTACCAAAAGTGTCACTGACACAATAATCGGGGACCAAAAGTGGCACAAACTCAATGAGTAAAGGGTGTTTGGATGTGATTCTTAAAACGGGTGTTAGAAGCACAAGTTGATTTGTTTGGGTGAAAGTACAGAAGTGATTCTGGTGCTCTAATTTACTCCTAGAATCAGTTTTTTTAGAAGCTGGGAATGACTAGCTTCTGAAAACTGATTCTGATTCTGCTTCTGCTTTAAAAAAGAAGCAGAATCAGAATTAGTTCCAAACACCCTATATGCATTTAATTTCCAAAAAAAATAAAAATGATTAGTTTTTTAATATAGTTTAGAAATTTTGACAAAGTTACTTACATATTCAGCCATATTATTTTAAAAAATGATTTTAAAATTGTAAAATTTGTTCTTGATCGAAGGGGGTTTTGCGCATGATTAATTAAAACACGGGGGGTTTGACGCATTTTTTAAATCACATGGGCTAATGCGCCGAATTTATATTTCACGAGGGGGTTTGCGCGTATTTAACCCCAAGTTTGACCGACACGGGAAATAATAAAGTAAAAACTGTGTGATTGAAGTTTATGCAGAGGAGAGAGAATGAACTGGAACCACAAATTTTTTACTTAAAAGGGAAATTGTCAAAATTAGTGAGACATCCAAAAATGGAAAGTTAGCAAAATTATAAGGGACGAAGGAAGTAGTATTTCATTATTTAAAGTTGGTAGACTTTCTTTTTTGAGATATATTAAAAATTTGTTTCATCTTTCTTTTTTAATAAGTTTTCTTTTTAAACATATTCAATTATTCTTAATTTTTAATTCTTGTGTTCTTTTTCATACTTTTATATTATCTCTGAAACTTTTTCTATATTATTTTCTATCTTACCACTTTATTCCACAAAAACATGTGTTAAACTCTATTATAATACGGAGTAATCTTTTTTTAATGACTACTATATTAATCTTTAAAAATAGTGAGGAGGTATATGATTATCAATAAAATAATAAATAATAATGGTAGGTAAGATTGTCACTAAGGACATGTTTACTTCACGAGTTACTAAACAATGCTTATTAAGAGTCGCGTTAATAAGCGGCGCATAAAATAAGCAATGTTGTAAGCTTATGTTTGCTTCAAAAGATTTAAAACACTACTTAACATTAAAATGTCTAAATTAACCATATACATATATAAACACACAAACATTCATGTACACAAGTATATACTGTCTCCGTCCCAAAAAACTTTTCCATTTTCAAAACTTTGACCGGCTATATCTTTTTATTGAAAATTATTTATAATATAAAAATTATATGAAAATGATCTTTGTTAAAAGTACCTTCATAGAATTATAAAATTTATAATTTCCATAATATTATACTAATCAAAATCAATGTTCAATTTTTTTGAAATGGCAAGTGGTAGGGTAGGGGTGGGTGTTGGAATTGGGGTAGGGTGTAAGGTTGTGGTAGGGTAGGGGTGGGTGTTAGAATTGGGGTAGGGTGTAAGGTAGGGTAGGAGCAGGGTACGGTATGGGGGTACGAGTATGGGGTAGGGTAGGGGGTCGGGTAAGTACTATACTCGGTCGGGTACCCGGCCAAAGTTATTGAAAAACACCTATAAATAACACACTTTTCCTTCACTAATTTTCATCCCTTCTTTCATATACTTAAGCTCAGTTTAGAAATCATTTCTTTATATTTTTCTAGCAATATTTAGTCTCCAAATGAGGAGCTAAACTTTCATTTATTGGTTTTGCTCTTAAAGCTTGTTGATTATTAAAGTTGTGAGTTACGGAGTATTTTCTTAACTTCTCTCCTTGAATATTAATTTTTCCCTTAATCTATTTCTATATTAGGGTCTGTTTGGTAACGACTGCGATGGCTGAAACTGCTGAAGTGGCTGAAATGGCTGAAGTTGCTGAAATGAAAGTGTTTTGTAATATTCTGACTGAAGTGGCTGATTGAATGTAAAATTACCAAAAAAGGTATTTGTTTCTTTATATTTGAAATGTATGTGTATGTTAGCTTTGCTAGTAAAATCTGTTTACTAATATGAGTAAATTAATGTAAAATTACTAATCAACCCCATTGATTTGGGATTGAGACTATGTTGTTGCAGAATAAATAACTCACAATCATGAATCATTTTTCTGTTTTCTTCTTCTTTTAAATAATTGAATTAGCAAGATTTCATGGGGTACAAGTTCTTCCATAAAGAAGGATAATACGGTACAGTAGATAAACTGATAAATTCACAAGGCTTGAATACGAAGTTTCAACAAAATCATATCTCCAGGCTTGAATCAAGCACAATTTTTTTTTCTTGTGAACTTAACACAAGATGCGAAGTGATATTACGCTGGTGCACCTTAGAATGTTTAGAAAGGAAGGAAATTACTGGGTTGAAGACCAAAATGATACTTACCTTTAGATTGATCAAGAACAACCGAGCAGAAAGAATTTAAGCAGAAGACGGCTAGATGTGAAGTGATATTTGCCAAGAAGAAGACAGATGCGAACAAAGAAGAGAATTACGGATGAAGTATTCAAGAAGGGATAAAAATGTCCTTAAAGTAGTTAACTGTACAAAAATAGATTTCAAGGGTTGAGCTACTTTTTGAGCTTTTAATAAAAATCAGCCCAATCAGCCCAAAGTAGGGGTGTTTGGTGATTTTCTCTTACATTCGGGCTTATCAGCCTATATATTGGACTCCAAACGGCCACTTAATGTTGGGGAGTGTTGCTAAGATGACAATTAGTCAACATCTCAATATTAATTTGATGGAGTATTGACTCATAGAGAGAAGTGAGAGCTAGAGAGAGAAGTGCAGTAAATGCTTTGTATTAATGATTTGTGAACCCCCCTACAACTACTCCCAAGGGGAGTATTTATAGAGGAAATTAAGGTTGGGCTCCCAAGTCTTGGGCTTGGGAGGCCCATTTACAATTGCGCCAGTATTGGGCGGAGTACAAAATATGTAGAAATGATTAAGTACAAAATTGGGTTCTGGGAACCTTTTGAGGCCGACGCGGCCACGACCGACGGAGCCCCGGCCGACGGGGACACCCGGTTCTCCTGGCTTCCGGACCATGTTCTGAGTTGATATCTTTCTGGCCGATGGGGGGTCATCTGGCTGACGGAGGCCCCACTAGGTGACAACAATGTCTCTTATTCTCCTGAGTATGTGGGTCCCGGGGTCCAGACCCATATACTCCATCATAATTATTACTAGAAACGATCAACAAACCGAAGGTTAATCATTGATAGTTTCACAAGTAAGTAACTTCGATTTATTAATGCACGTTCATGGTTAATAAACTTAGGAGGGATTAATTTTGTTGGTTAAACAGAAACCGTTGTGTTGAGGTTATCAATCTCAATTGATTTTATCTAGGAGTTAGAAAGATTAAATGCTACTATTAAATCGGTATATGGTGTTGTTCTATATTTGATTAATAGTAAGAGTTATTAATGAACGATCGTTGTTAATAACTACCCTCGATGAATTGGATATATTCCTCGATTGAGTATTCGAGAGGGGATAAATTATAGATATAACAAGGATCGACTAAATATATCAACAAGTGGAAATTAGCAAAGCCAAATTCTTTTTATCTTTGAATTAAATCACATATAAGTTGTTCATCTTAGTTTTTAATTAAGTTAAATCATTCAACCCCAAAACCCTCCTTTAATTACTAGTTCATTGAAAGAAAATTATTCCTTTCCATGTGGATACGAACTCTACTACATTATACTATGTATAAGTGTTTGTATTGAAGTTAATATTTATGTATTTCCTTTATATTTTATCTTTCAAATCCTTAGAAAGACATGACCTCAAGAATCTATGAAAATGTTGAGATCATCGATTTTTGCAGGATCCCATTGAATTCCAAATTGAGGACCACATACAAAATTTATGAAATTCTAACAATACATTACAAATCTCTAAAATCCTAATTAGGGACACCTTAAATTTACATTTTTGAAAGAAATCATATTTGACAATGGTACTAAAATAATTTTTTATATAAAATTTTGGATATATAAATTACATACACAAGTTCGGGTGTTGATAAGTACATATTACAACACGCATTTGATGCGTGTTGGGGTTCATTTTGATAGTTTTCCTAGCTTTAAGGTGTTGCAAGTCTCAATTTTAACTCAAGTTATGTTTACCGGGCGTTGGTTCGAGTTTTGTGTCATTTGGAGTCAAAATCAGGATTTTAGACACCAACACCGGCGCTTGAGAAGCAATCGGAACGAGTTGAGAAACATTAGAGATTGATTTTAGAGCTTTGGAGTTCACCGGGAGGTTTACGATGAAGAGTTGAAGATAAAAGAGCTCTAGGATTGGCTACGGGATCAAAAGAAGACAAATAGAGCTTGAAAATGACGATCAGGATGACCTTCTGTTAATAATTCAAGCATATCTCCTTGTAGAGACATACAATGTACACGTTTCAAGTTCCATATGAAAGACAACTTCAAGGGCTACAAATCATGCGAAGACACCTTTTCGAGAATCTGATAGGAAGAATGTGAAAACAGACGACGAAGTCAGATGATCCCTGTTGCGATTTCAGAATGAGACATTCCACTATTTTATTCATATTTGTTGATTGGATGATTCAAATCCAATTCGGAAAATTGGGGTGGATAGAGGACTTCATTATCTACAACTTTCAAGAAGGAAGTAAAGTCAAATTCGGACGTTTTACCCAAGCCGTGCGTGCCCCGTTTTTGTTTCCTAATTTAAGTGCGAATTTCCTTGTTTCCTAATTCAACCTGAATTGCTTTGTTTCCTATAAATAACACCTCTCTAACCCTAATTAGGGGGGGAGCTTAGAGAGAGGCCTAGGGACGAAATTTCTTCTACTTTACCATCTTGTTCTTCAATTCCCTTGGATTATTTGTAAGTTCCTACTTTTTAATTAATGACAATTAATTCTATTCTTCCCAATTCTATTGATTCTTCAATTATGAATAGGGAGTAGTTTTAATTAGGGATTTGGGGTTGATGAAGGGGTTAATCATGATGTATGGTTAGGTTCTTGATGGTGTAAATTGCATGAATGCCGTTTAATTTGTGTTTGAATAATTTAATTGATATCTTTTGTAACCTAGAATGGTCACTAGAATTACAATTGCTTATAGAATAAATTAAGAGAGATCTAATTTGTTCTAGGACACATTCACACACACTTAATCGTTCGCTAAGAGATTAGTAGCGATTAAGGGGCCGTAAGCTCGTTCGTCTTGGCAATAATTTAGGATCCTGTCGCATGAGAGATCAGCCTGGTCCCCTAAATTATTGTACTCTACGCCGCGAGAGCGGTAAGAACTTAGTATTGATTAGCTAGGCTCAATTAAATTAAATTCATGTAATTAAGCCTGATCTGCCAGAAATCTGATTACCCCGGAATCAATCCCTGTTCCCTTCGTTGTTAATTAAGAAGAACCCAATCATTTACTTTTAATCGTTTATTTGCAATTTTAGTTTTCTCAAGCAACCAAATCTCGCACGACCGCATTTATTTTATTTATTCTTTATCGCTGATTTTTAGTTAATTCTTAATTCCCTTTTACCGTCCCTGTGGAGACGATACTCGTACTTTCACTGCTATATTACAATCTTTTTAAGTGCGAGAAAACTCACATCAGGTGTTCATCTCACACTTTTTCAAAGTTTGAGATATTTTAATTATTTTTTCGCTATTACTAATCCGTAATCATAGAGCGGAGGTTGTCCCTTCTCTAGGTTTAAACAGAGATTGAATTAAAAAAACAATGTGAAAAACTGAAAAATACTATAAACAAGGAGTATCTGTTATGCCAGATGGTAAAACCCACCGGCTACAATTACAATGCATCAAACAACAGATAATTGCAACAACAAAAAACGAATAGTTCATTTATTCTAGGAAACATCTTTTTATTGCTTCTCTATTAAGCATTCTAACAATGTCTAACATATTTTTAGTGTTTTATTTTATAGTTAAGAGATTGTATAGCCTCGGCGGTGACAAATTATCTTTTAGTTCCCTGATGAGTGCCTCCTATTTCACATACTTCCTTGTTGACATGAACTCTAATTCCGCTTCAACACTCGAGTTCAACTCCTCAACTTAGCACCAATCCCACATACTATTACAGCGGGTTGGACGCGGAGCCAGATGGAGGCAGCAGAGCCATCATAGACTCGAGAAAAACGATGGGCCAGTATATCCATATAATGTGCGCACCACCATTGAGAAGAGAAGACATCAATTATGTTGATGAACAAGGTTTGACACATAAAAAGAAAAAACAAAGAAAATGCCACACACATTAATTTGTTTTCTTCTGAAATGGTGTATATATAAAGATTTTGTTTTTACAATTTCTAGAAAACTAAAGTTCCGAAGACATTCAAGAAGCACGAGAGATTGTTATTCACTTTGATGTTATTTTCAAAAATAAGAGCAGCATTTGAATAATATTATTCTTATTGATATTTTGGTCTACAAGAGTACTTTAGCCTACTTTCGTTAAACTCAAGCACTGAAGCACTCATACAACATTTCTTGCATGTAAAATTGTTAATTGCAATTCTACACTTGTGAACTCCTACAACATTTCTTGCATTGTAAAATTGTTAGTTGCAAATCTACACCAGTGAGGCATCTCTGTTACTAAAAAGAACATTGCCTCCACATTCTTTGCTTTATCCAGTCCTGAGGTGTTGTGATCCATAGGCAACAGTTGAGGTTACTGTGGTTAGCATAACTACCAAACTGCAAATCAATCAACAAAGTTGGTAAAAAGGGCACAAAAATTCTGCACAATCTGTCTATATGAATTTACATCTGTTGTTACAAGTTTACCTGATATAGCTGATATATGTTTGAGTCTCCGCATTGCCCAGTTCAGGTTGGAGTAGGGCTGCTGCAACTAATACCAATTGGAAGAAAGTATTTATCTGTCAACACCAAAGTATCAAACAATATTAGCATGATCACCGCCCTGGGTATGTTTGGTGGATCTAGATAAAGTGCCATTCAGTTGCTTCCTTTTTCAGCATGATCACTCTCTTTTTCAGCCAATTTTTACGAAATATCAAATTTTTTATTTCACATAAGGAATTGTGTAAAATCAAAATAAGTTGGACCGAATTTACTTTTCTAACTAAATTGGATAATTTAACCCCGTTTCATATCATTTATTTTCTTTATTTTAATAAAAATCTATTTTAAAACTAATTTTTATATTTCAGCAGATTCCGCCATTTCAGCCCAATTTCAGAACATTCATCAATTTAGTCCATTTTCACTGTTCACCAAACAGTCTAAAAATGCCAATGAATGTTAATTTGTAATGTTCAGTTTAACCTTGGATAATGCAAAGGAACATGGGATGTGATTAATTCTTTACCAACTTTAGTTAGAGATTTAGATTGGGAAAACTATCAATTAAAGTCAGTTAAACACTCGAACTAAATAAACACCCAATTAAACCCCATGAACTACATAAAAACGGTCAATTTTATAATTTAGTAGGTTTACTCATGGTTAGCCGGTCATTTTTTTACGTGGCAACCCAGGTGTTTTTTTATTGTTTTCCCTTTTCTTTTTTCTTCTCCTTCTTCTTCAGCCCACCTTACCCCTCACCCTTCTTCCTCCTCTTCTTCTTCAGCCTAGTCCGACCCGCTCCTCCTTCCCTGTTGTTCTCCTTCAGCCCACCCGCCCTGCTTTCAGGAGTTTTTTCCCATGGAGGGGCGTTTTTCAAACTTATTTCCCAAACTAAGGTACTTTTAAACTTATTTCTCAAACAAGGGTATTTTTTGCCATGTCACCTCAGTAATACTGCTGGGCGACACATCAGCTTATCCACATCATCCCATCAATTCCATGTCATCAATTTTGAGAGTTTAGGTGTGCTTCTAAAATATAGAAAAAAATGAAGCTAATAGGAATCGAACCTGGGTGAAACACAAGAAAGACATGTATGTGAACCACTACACTACACCATCCACTTGTTAACAAATGCCTTTTAAGAAGTATAAATCATGTATCCTTCATCACGGGAGTGCACTATTTCTTAATCGCATGTATTATTCGTTCCTTTAGAAATATCTCTCTTTACTAAACAATAAAAAATGTAATAATAAAAAACTGAATTTGAGTTATTCAATTAAAAATCTTATTAAAACTTATAATAAAAACATAATTTGCTAATTTAATTTGAAAAATAAAGAAATATTTAACTTAGAATACAAAAAATTAATCTAAACTTATTATGACAAAACACAATTTGGAATATGTATTTTTTTAAATAACTTAGCTTCAAATGAAATAAAATCAATTAAAATAAAAGTCATATTTCTGAGTTACTTATTTCTAAGTTACTTATTGCATGAAATTTACTTATTTTTTATTTTATTTACTTTTGAGTTATTTCAAATAACTTTTAAATTATATACTTCAATTTTTTTATACATTTAAATTACATTTTTATAAAATTAAATATCGCAAACTAAGCTTTTCGTTGTGATTATTTCATTATAGCAGCTCAACTCTTCTGGACTCGGTTCAATTTTCTCATTGATTATTATTGTTTCAAATTCAAATACAACACTCAAATTTGAACTAAATTGTAACATGTTAAATTTTAGTGAAATTTGCAATACAAATACTTTAAGTCCAAGAATGTATACATTTAGCTGTGTATTACTCATTGCTTTAAAAATATATAGCTTCTTTTTAAAATAATTAAAAAATTACGCAAAATACTAGGTTTGTGATAATTAAAAATAAAGACTTAATTAAAATTTATTGTTACTAAATGTTATGAAAGGCTCTAACCCACCCCAATTTAAAATCAGATACTATTCATGTCAAGAAAATCATATAATATTTATCTAAGAAAGAAAAAACTTGATAAATTTATAAACGAAAAATGCTTGGTTCCGAGGTGGAGTCGAGCTGAGGCTGAACAAAATTAAGCTGTTAGAGAATTTTCATAAAGAAAAATTTATACGATATTTTACATTAATATTAAACCTTTTATAGAATTTAAAGTGGACTAGCATGAAATTTACTTATATTTTATTTTATTTTATAAGTTTTTTATTGTTATATTTTTAATTGTTTGGGAAAGGAAGAAATATACTTCGTATTTCTAAAGGAACAAATAATACATGCGATTAAGAAATAGTGCACTCCCGGGGTGAAGGATACATGATGTATACTTCTTAAAAGGCATTTGTTAACAAGTGAATGATGTAGTGTAGTGGTTTAAATACATGCCTTTCTTGTGTTCCACCCAGGTTCAAATCCTGTTAGCTTCATTTTTTTCTGTATTTTAGAAGCACACTTAAACTCTCAAAATTGATGACATGGAATTGATGGGATGATGTGGATAAGCTTATGTGGCGCCCAGCACTGATACTGAGGTGACATGGCAAAAAATACCCCTATTTGGGAAATAAGTTTAAAAGTACCTTAGTTTGGGAAATAAGTTTGAAAAACACCCCTCAATGGGAAAAAACTCTGAGGATATCACGTCTGACGAACAACACCAACGGGGAGTCCTATGATTGAATTTGAACAACCCCTCCATTTTCCATTATTCCGGCGGGCGTACGAGAGATGCATCACCACTTCCTCAGCATCTGCCAAAGCTATTCGTATTTGGTATAGTAGCTTGGATCCCACAAAACAAGCAGCCATAGGGATTTATGGTTTTCCAAGTGATCTCTCTGTTGATTTGGGTTATGTTACTAAGAGTAGCGGTTGGTGGGCTGTTTAACTGGCCGGTGAAGAAGAATAAAGAAGAGGAGTGGGCAGGGCCGGCTGCGCTGAAGAAGAAGAAAGAAGGGTGGGAGAGGGGAGGGGAGGGGTGGGAGAATGAAGCATGGGAGTTAGGCGGGGAGGGCAAAGAAGAAGAAAGAAGCAGGGAAAAAATAAAAGGAAAATAGAAAATAAAAGCTTCAAAAAAGGGGTTAGGACAAGAATAATACTAAAAATTAACTTATGGACAAGAAAGAGACCATTTGTTAAAAGTTCCAAAAAAGAGACTAAAAATGTGTAAGAGAACTATTATACCCTCCCCACTTGATCTATTAAGGGAGATTTCAACAAGTGAGAGCAAAACATACTGATTTTCCAAAACTAAGACCTATGAGAGTCGTAAGATTCAACTATACCTGCATTGACCACAATATTCTTACTTTTAGGAAATATCAGACATTAAATAGACAATAAATAGACAATAAGTAGACAATAAATAAACAAAAAATTCTGATAAAATAATCTATTCAAGCCTTGCATTTTCGGATCTATGTTTTTTAAAATGTTAGATTAAAAAAATTCCAAACACTAATTATTCAAGCTCTGTTTTCTAGCTGTTGACATGTTGCGGAAGCAGTATGGAGAAGATACGGCGGCGGCGGTGAGGTACGGCCCATACGACGGCCGCTATGAGGCACAACCATTACAGTGGTAGCGGCAGGGTACAAAGGTAGGGGGCAGTAGGGGCGAAGTATGACGGTGGAGACGAGGTGCAGTGGTCACAGGGGCAAATACGATGGCGACGATGATGTGTTGTGGCGGTGGCTGTAGAGGATTGGGGGAGATTTCGTGAAGATTCTGGATGGGGTTTGGTGAGCAGCTCATAGATGTGGTTCTATTGTCCTCTGTAACTAAGAGGAAAAGCAGCGGATGATGAGGCCTCCTGGGGAAGTTTTTTTGGTTTAGGCTGGAAGGCGAATTTGGAAAGTTAAAATAGATTTCCTAATCTAGAACTAAATAGGTAATATGAATGGAAAAAACATTAGCAGGTACTCCCTCCATCCCACTAACAATGGGACAAGAAATAGTGGCACGCAAATTAATAAAAAGTGATTTATGTGGTTGATATTGAATTGATAAAGTAAGAATAAATTAAGAATGATTTAGAGCCACACAAACTTTACCAAACTTGGTAAGGGACAATCTTAGTGGGACAGACCGATAAGGTAAAATGGGACAATCATAACGGGACAGAGGCAGTATTATTTTTGTAAAAGAGCTATGATTTGATCCTATTAGGAGCAAATTTCAAAGTGACCACTATTTACAGTGACAAATAACCGAGTAATCTATTAATACAGTGGCTAATAACTAATGCTACAGTGACAAATATCAAAGTGACCAACGTCAACAATCCAGTGACCAACGTCCACCAGTCCACTGACCAACGTCTACCCATCCAATGACTAATGACCACCCGTCCAGTTACATTTACCCGACCCGACCAGTTACCGTTACCTAACCAATTACAATTACCTGACCTGTTACAATTACCCGACCCGACCAATTACAGTTACTCGACCCGATCAGTTACTGTTATCCGATTCGACCGGTTACAATTACCATATTTTATGAGACATAGTTATCCAATTTGATCGGTTACAATTACTCGGTTCTATCAATTACGGTTACCCATTCACACAGTGACCACCGCCGGCGACCACCATCTCCGGCCACTGCCGGCGATCACCACCACCTCCCTGTCTAGTAACCACCGCCCATCCAGTAACCGCCACTCCCCTGCCCCCCCCCCCCCCTCCAGCATGCGTCCCCTGCCCCAGCCCTACAAGCCTAGTTGTGGCCAAAGACAGACCTGCAACCCTAGCCACGTCCGTGGCCCACCCCAAGACAACTACCAATCGACGGCAACAGCGGATCTGGCCGAGGACAGCCATCCAACAACTCCAATCTTCGTTCCGATCGAGCTCTACGACGAGGGCGGCGACAAGCGATTTGAAAAGAAGAAAATAGAAGAAGATATGATGAGGATTCGAGTTGTGGCGGCGGCGGACGAAAAAGCAGATGCGAAGATGCAACGACGGGTGCGGTGGTGTCGGGTCCAACTGCGTAGATCTGTCGTTCTTCGTAGCTGAAGAGCTTCTGCCGTTTCACGCCGTCGTCAACCGTCATCTTTGCCGGAGTTTAAGCCTGGTCTGAGGCCGTTGCCGTCGGAGCTGGAGGATGGTCTGGGCCATCGTTGCCGAAGCGGGCTGGAGCCATAGCCGCATGAGGTGTGAGCCAGACGGAGGGTAAAGGGCTGAGGCATGTTTAGGCATTTATAGTGAGGGCATTTTTGTCACTTCAGTGATTTTATGTCCCGTTTTTTGTCTAAATCAAAAGGTCTTATTTTGGTCCATCTACATGTGGGTAGTCACCTTTTTGTCATTATTTCTTTAAAAAATCCACCACATCGCCACGAAACCAGATGACCGGTTAACCGAGGACTAAGCTACTAAATTATAAAATGGAAAAACTGTTCGAACTTTCATAAAAAAGTTAATTAAATCCTTCTATAGGAGGTTCTGTTCGACCGTCGCGATTTGAGGCATTTCCCGATGTAATTTTTTGATGAAATTTTTTGAGCATCTTATTCACCAAGTCTAGTTTACTCATACCAAATTTCAGCTAAAAATTCAATCGGGAACACATTCAAATTAATTCTTGAAGATAATTGCGCATTTTTGAGTTCTCGAATTAATTTGAATGCGCTCCCGATTAAATTTTTAGCTGAAATTTGGTATGAGTAAACTAGACTTGATGAATAAGATGCTCAAAAAATTTCATCAAAAAATTCCACCGGGAACCACCCCAAATCGTGACGACCGGACAGAGTCTCCTATAGAAGGACTTAATTGATTTTTTTATGAAAGTTTGAGGACCTATTTGACAGTTTTCCCTTATAAAATTGACCGTTTTTATATAGCTCATGGGTTTAATTGGGTGTTTGTTTAGTTTGAAGGTTTAATTGACTTTTTTGATATACTTCGAGGTCTGATTTGACAGTTTTCCCATTTAGATTTCTTGTCCTACTGTAAGTTGGCTTCCCTTGGTGTTTTGTCAAGAGGTCACTCTCAAAACTTGAACCCGTGATCTCTTGATCACATAGCAACACCGCAACCGGTGCGCCAAGAGTCTCCTCTTAGTTTTAAAAGGCGCGAGGTGGCTTGGGACAATTTACCCGAGGTGCTCGCCTCATGGAACTTAACTGTATAGCGTTGGTAAAACATATTTACACTAATTCTACATGAAGCTCTCTTCTCAAAAAATGATAACATCACCAAAATACATTAAACAATCTAATAAACACCTTAAGAGAAACAAAATGTTGATTCAGACCTTAGTTTAAAAAAGCGTGCCTGAGGCGCACCTAGGCGATGGGCATGTCGCATACGAAAGACCCAGGCGCAGCAGATTCTAAAAGGCGCACTCCATACCTCGCCTTTTGCCTCTTTTTGCGCATCTGAGAGGCATTCGCCTCTGGCGCCTCTTGAGAAGATGTCTGCTCATCTTTGTTTTTTTGGCGATTCACATACCTAGTTCGAGCTTGGCGATTCACGTATCTAGTTCCAAAGGTCCGTAGGTACTATATATTGATGGGGTTAGGTTCCCTGACTCCATCAGAGTCAAGTTTTCTCTAATATTCTGCCTCTGCTATGCTTCCACTATCTCCTATCCTCTTTCTTCCGCTCCTATCTAACGTCGCAGGTAAGTTGTTGTTTCCTTTTATTCTTTCTTCTCTTTTTATCTTAATTTCTTAAATTATCAAATAGTTTAAATTATTTATAAGTAAATATATGACCATATATCAATATGCCCTAAACCCTAATCCCAATCACATAGTTTATAAATTTTAAATAATAATAAAGATGGTTTGTACATTCAGATTGTTTAAATTTTTTACTTTAGCAGTTTAAAACTACATTTTGGAGTTTTAAGATTCAATTTTATGATTGGCTTTAGGTGTTTAATGTGTTTGGTGCTACTATATGAATCAACATTTTGTTTCTCTTAAGGTGTTTATTAGATTGTTTAATGGTTTAATGTATTTTGGTGATGTTATGATTTTTTAAGAAGAGAGCTTCATGTAGAATTAGTGTAAATATGTTTCACCAACGTTATACAGTTAAGTTCCGTGAGGCGTGCGCCTCACCGGCTAGCGCCTCGCGCCTTGGGTAAATAAATGAAATCGCCTCAAGCCACCTCGTGCCTTTTAAAACTAAGATTCAGACAGTAGTATCAAACACATTAAACACCTAAAGCCAATCATAAAATTGAATCGTAAAACTCCAAAATGTAGTTTTAAACTGCTAAAGTAAAAAAATTAAACAATCTGAATGTACAAACCATTTTTATTATTATTTAAAATTTATAAACTATGTGATTGGGATTAGGGTTTAGAGCAGATTGATATATGGTCATATATTTACTTATAAATAATTTAAACTATTTGATAATTTAAGAAATTAAGATAAAAAGAGAAGAAAGAACAAAAGGAAACAAAAAATAAACTTACCTGCGATGTTAGATAGGAGCGGAAGAGGATAGGAGATAGTGGAAGCATAGCGGAGGCAGAATATTAGAGAAAACTTGAGTCTGATGGAGTCAGGGAACCTCACCTCATCAATATATAATACCTACAGACCTTTGAAACTAGATACGTGAATCGCCAAGCTCGAACAAGTTATGTGAATCGCCAAAAAAACAAAGATGAGCACTCGACATCTTCTTAGAGGCGCCAAAGGCGAACGCCTCTCAGATGCGCAAAAAGAGGCCAAAGGCGAGGTATGGGACACGCCTTTTAGAATCTGCGACGCCTAGGTCTTTCGGATGTGACGTGTCCATCGCCTAGGTGCGCCTTGCGCCTTTGAGGCGCGCTTTTTTAAACTAAGAGTCTTCTTCAATAAAAAAATAAAAATAATAAAATTGAGCACATCTTTTATCCCCACATTTTGTTTCCTTTAGTTTTTCTCTCTATTTGCATAGAGCAAAAGATTCACTATTTTTTGGCTTGGAAATATGATGAAATAAAGCAAAATGGCTCACTAAACTGTTTGCGATTTTCACGATGGGTCATTCGGAAACAATCTCTATATGCTCTGGTGCAGGGGTAAGACTGCGTACAACCGACCCCCTTTACCCCACCGTTGGTGAGAGCCTTTGCGGCACTCGGGTAATGATGATGAGTTTTTCTCTCTATTTCCCCTCCACCAACACTCAACTTGAAAGCTCTTGTCAAGTCCACTTGGGACCCACTAGGTCTAAGCTTCCAATGATGTTTTTATTTGGATTGCAATTTTCTGGCCTAGTAGATGTCTAATCTCTGTATTTTACAACTGATCTGGTCTATTTAAGTCTACGACTGGAATAAGTCCAAGTAAAAACATCTAAGTAGTTCCTAACCGCGCTAAGCGCATTTAAACGATGATCTCACTAGTTTATTTTCAGATAGAGGGATAATTACCCAATCTCCAATTTATATTGCTCATAGATGTAAAACCAAGTGATCTCTGGGAAAAAAGTTGATACCTTGCTAATCATAAGAGGCTCTACTTTCTGGGGACGCATTCCATCCAGGTTGAAGTAGTCTATCCAACTTGTCCACTGGTAATGAAAATTTATCAGAAATTTGAATAACTACAGGAGTGAAGAGCATAGCTGGTTTGGCTCACCTTCCATTCCAAACTGTTAGCTCTTTTGTAAAGAGCACCACCAACGAGGGCAACATCACGTAGAACCACAAGGGCAACAAGTTCAGCTTCACAGTGGAAAAAACAAAAAGATCTACTTCAAAGTTTAATCTATAAAGACTTGCGACTTTGCAGTATCAAACAACTCTTATTGGCCGTCTGGAAGCCACTAATTTCAGCTCTAATCAGCAAGAGTTTTTTTACCAAACACAAATTTAATTGACTAGTTGGTTCAAGGTAGTCAAAAGCGCCAGCGCTTGAGCGCACCAGGCGCAGCGAGCAGGGCCTTCAGCGCTTGGGAGAAGGGGAGGCGCACGTACCTGGGTCAGGCGCAGAATAAGCGCATTAAGCGCTGAAGCGCTGAAGGCACACACCTGGGTCGCCTGATCCGGAAAAGGCTGATAAGCGTTTTTTTTTGTTTAAAACTTTAAAAAATAATTAACCCATATCTTTAAGAACACTGAGCCCATCTAAATAATAGGGTAAAACCATTTAAACCTACGTAACACCTTTAAGTAAAGTACGTAAAAACGTAAAACCTTGCATAGAACACTAACCCGTGAAGTAAACGTGTCCTAAGTTATATCGCTAGCCATCATCGGCTCTTCAGTCTACTCACTCTTCTCACTCAAGTTGCTCTACACCAGCCAGTTCTTTCAGTTTTCTTCATCATCTTAAGCAAACTCAGTTCTCGCTCATACCACTAAACAAGATATGTGTTCTTGTTTATGCAGTCTTCTTCATACAAATACTCTTATCGTATATTTCTATGTATATAATAAAGTACTAGTATATTACTATGTATATAATATTCTATATTACTCATAATAATGTATTAATACTCTGCATTACTCTATATTACTCACAGCACTAGTATATTGTTATGTATATAATAAAGTAATAGAACTCAGTATTACTCTATGTTACTCACAGCACTAGTATATTGCTACGTTATTAATAAAGTAATAGTACTATGTAGGATCACAAGTTTAACAAAGGAAATAGGCTCCAATTTGATTGTCTTTTACTTATAGTTGTAGTGTTAAAGCCATAAATTCTGAATTTGGTGTTTTATTTTTTGTAAATCATGACTTTATTTTGGTGAATCCTGGATTTTATATGCATTTGGTTCAATATGATGTTACACACATCATATTTGGTAATTATAGAATAGTATATGTGATTTTATCTAAGTAATGTGCTTCACCCGAGTCAGGCGAGCGCTTTATTTGTGCCTTGCGCCTCAGGCGCTGGAAGGCCCCTAGCGCTTCAAGTGTGCCTTTCGACATTGACTACCTTGAGTTGGTTTATAATGAAAAGGAACAACTGTAGATATTTTTTAGCTGAATTGGCTAAGGATGATTATTTTAGCCTGTTCATTTAATTTTACTTTAATTCATCACAAAAATGTACTTCAAATATAGATAGTACATTTTATAGTAACTTGGAAAATTCAGCAACATTAACAATATAGCCCCAATTTCATCAACTTCGGCCAAATTCACCTTCACCAAATGAGCTCTTAATTGCTAAAGAAGTTTATTTTTTCAAACCCAAACTTTCACTCAGACCAACTCCATATCATTCCAAAGTATTTTGTAAAAGAAGAAGAAATCAACAAAACAATACATCCACTCACGTTGTAAAAGACCCCTCTCAACCATTGCCAGAGCAACACATCCAATTAGCACCTGAAACACACACAAAAAAAAATCATGGGCTAGTGAATAAAATGAGCCATGCCAGGCAACGATTACCATCCCAAGTAAACTAAGTGCTGAAACTTCTTTCTCCAATGTATCAAAAACATAAGAAGAAGAAAAAGAAGAAGAATTGGAAAAACAGTGAAAGAACAAAAAAGGAGTATTAGTTACCTTGTCAGCAAGAGGATCGAGGTAGGAACCAACCACAGAATCAATCCCCATTTTCCTGGCTATATACCCATCTAACTGCAATGGGAAATAAACCCATAAAAAGGGACTTAGTGTCATCTACTTCAGCAAAGAAAAGAAAAACAAACTTCATACCCAATCACTCGCACCAGCAAACGCTAGCCCAACAAATGCAGGAAGATACATGTCTTGTGTGATCATCCTGCAGAAAAAATTTGACTAGTGAGAAATAAAATTTAACATATCACAATTCACAAAAACGTTCAATTGGTTACTCTCATCCTTAATGAGAGTTTCACAAATATTCTACTTTACCACTCCATCGGTTTCATATGAAGTGTCGATACAGTTAAGAGATTGGTATTACAATATGTGTCATTTTGTAAAATTAAGAGAATACGGGATAGAAAAAATCCTCGGTTTCCCTTCTCTAGAGCATGAGTACTTCTCATATTCCAAAAAGGGGGACTGATTAAAAATAATTTACGGCATGTTTAGATGGAGTGTTGAGAGGTGTTAGTAATGGAAGTGTTAGTAAATGTCGACACCGGACTGGAAGGGAAAGTAAGTGCAAGTGTAAGATACAACCTTACCTTGTTTGGAAGAGTTATAAAAATGAAGTGTTAATAAAGGAAGTGTTTGTCTTTTAATTGACATTAAGTTCCGTATACTTTTTAATGCTACTGAGTAATATATAATCCGCTAGGGAAAGGACTTCGATGCGGCCATTTTCATGGACAAAAGCGTTGCTATCGCCAGAATTAGCTAGGCCCTAGAAGTTACAAGATGGCACCCATCAAACATGAATCCAATTATAGTTTTCAAAAACTGGAAAATGGCTGCCCAAAACAGTGACCTCCTTGCCTCTGCACTAGTACCTACTAGGCATGGCCCGGTTCTGGGCCGGGCCGGGCTCCGGGCCGGTCCAAATCGGGCTTTTTTCTTGGGGGTTAAGGCCTGGAACCGGCCCGGGATTCTACCGGGACTGGGCCGGGCCGGGTACCTTTTTTTTTTTGGCTTTTCTAATTAATTCCTACCCCCTATCCCCCAACCCCAAACCCCTCCAAAACACCCAGCCCAACCCGCCAACCACCCAAACACTTTGAAAAAAAAAATAAAAAAAATTGGGCCGGATAGGGCCCGGGCCGGTACCAAAGAACCCTGCAGCCTGAGCCCGCCCCAAAAAACCCCCCGGGTCGGGTCATAGGCCCGGGCCCGGTATCGGGCAACCGGGCTGGTCCCGCACAGTGGCGGGTCGGGCCGGTTCCCGGGCCGGGCAGACCGGAACCGGTCCATGCCTAGTACCTACTTACAAGAAAGTAGGAACATTTAAGCTTTGATATATATAGCTCGACCAAGAAACCCAACAAAAGAGAATTCCTATATGCTTCGTATTATATATAGTTACAGGAAGAAGACTAGACTAGAATTGATTTGGAGATGGAGAAAAAGAATCTAAAAAAGAAGACCACAGTGGCCAGTGGGGGGAAACGGAAGATGGGGATTAGAGGTAGAACAGGGCAGCGTGAAAGGGGCAAGACACGTCCAAAACTTTAATATACTCCAATTTGGGGTGTTAAAAAAAGTCACATAATGGGGTGTTAGGGAGGTATCCCCTAACACTTTTAAACACTCCAATTTTATTAAGATTTTTCTCCCAAACAAGTATCAAGACCAACACTCCTTGACACTTCCATTACTAACACCCTTCAACACCCCATCCAAACAGGCCCTTAGGTATTATAGTGTATTACACTACTATTTCAAGAGGCTGTAGTATGCTTAGCATGTTCCTTAATCTGCTTGCACAATCATGAAACTACAATGGGGGTAGTATCTCTTAGGGGAAACATCAATATGCACATCAATAAATTGAACGAGTGGCTATCCTACACCTTGGGATTCTTTAGACCTTTATGACTGTGATAAAGGACCAATTGGACTTTAAGAGACAGGTTGGGCTCAGATTTTTTCTTAGTCTATTGAATTACGAAATAAAGTAACTTCAATTTGGTTTTCTATGAGAGATAACGTTACTATCTTGCCACTGCAATTCCTGATATGAACTCGTGAGAAACATGAACAAATATGGGACACTAACAACAACAACAACAACAACAATAATAATAATAATAATAATAATAATAATAAGTGGGACAAAAAATCATATCATATACCATTGCATTTGCGCTCCAAAGATAGAGTAAAACTAAATACCACGAGAGTAATGGGCCGGAAAGCAATCGACTGAACGAAATGCAATTCGGGAAATTGACAAAGCTGTCTCTAATTCCAGCAAAGGTCTGAGATTCGACGACTTGCTTTTCCCTGGGACCATTAAGGAGCAGTTTCGGTGCGTAGGAAGCTGACTGAAGCCCTAGCTTGTATGGGAATTTCAAATTGAGAGCTTTGACCCGAAGGAGGGCGAGCTTGGGATGGAGGTGGAGTGGCGTTGAGAATTGCAGGAGCTTCCAAGGAGGAAAGGAGAGAAAGAGCGGGAAAGAGTTTGCGACGACAGTGGTGGCACCAGAGAAGGTAGGAGAAAAGAGGTTACGGCGCGCGAGGAAATGGCGGTGGCGGCGGTAGGCAGAGGGGTCGGGGTAGAGAGGCGGCGCGAAAGCGTATGAGGAAGAGAAGGCTGTGGTGAAGAAGGTTCTAGGAGGATCACTGCCATTGAGCTTTCTGGTTCGGGAAATTAGCGCTTTGACTGATCTGAAAAAAGCCATCGATCCGGCGGCATTGGAGACCTGGAAAGAAATTATGCGAACGGAGGAGGCCAGATGGGGGTTGGTCGGTCGGTCCTAGGAGGCCTCCAACAAACAAACCATAAGACGTGACCATATCAAATCAAACCACATATGGCCCACCTATTTACCAAATCAAATGAGAAAATTTTAGTCTAACTAAAAACATCATTAGTTCTAATATGGTCTGCTTTGTCTAGTAAATCTACTTACTATCTATGCGCCATTTATATACGTTACTTTGATTTGACAGAATTATTAATAATATGGTTGAAAGAATAAAAATTATGATTAACATTTGAATATAATAACGTGAAATGTTGTACCTCATGCAATTCTTTCCAAAAAATGAAATGTGACATTTATTTTGAGATTATCCAAAAAAGAAAGTAAGACAAATAAAATGGAACGGACGGAGTATGTTTTGTGTGTATTTTATAACTATTGAAGTCTGATCGAATCTAATCAGATCTTGTCAGAGAATGAAACCAATCTAATTAAAAACAATATTAATGTAGCCATAAGTCCATAACAAGATTAATATATACTTTTCAATTCTTTAATTTAAGAAATTTTATTAATTCAGGATCTGAAAGGTACTACTCCCTCCGTATTTTAAAGTTCCTTACATTAGCTTTGGGCACATAATTTAAGATAAAATAGTAGAGATAGAGTAAAGTGATAAAATAGAAAAGAGAAGATAAATGATAAACTAGAATATAAAAGATAAAGTAGATTAGAAAATGTAATTAAAAGAGTAGTAGGGTAGGATATAATTGAATGAGGGTAAAAAGATAAGGGTAATAATGTATTTTCATAGATAAAACTTTCCTTAATGAGAAAGTGTAGGAAACTTTTAAATACAACACAAAAAGGAAAGTGTAGAGAACTTTTAAATACGGAGAGAGCAGAGCCGGTCCTGAGGAAATGAAGGCCCTGTGCAAAAAAAGTAATTGGGCCTTCTTTTCAAAGTTTCAACACAAGTTAAAAAAAAACCGAACCGAAACCGCACCAACTCAAACGGGACCCGAAAGTCGGGACTCGAACATAAATCGGTTTAATAAAGGTTTTTTGAGTTATAAAATCGGTTCAACCGAACCGAACCGATTTTTATTAAGAGGTATTTTAATTATTTATTTTGTAGAACAAATAGGTAATATAAAACTTGTACGTCCGTATTTCAACAATTAGTTGATTTGGTCCGGTGGTTGATGTTTAGAAATCAGTGTGCATGCTTTTATTTTCACTTGGGTTCAAATCCCGCATGCCTCACTTCTTTTCTTTTTTGTTTCTAAAGCTTAAGATTCCCACATCGGTGGAAACGAAGGATTTACTACACCTTCGTTCCTATATACACGCTCCTCCTTTGCTGATGAGGAATAAGCGAAGTGACGAACCAGGCCTGCTTCAAAGCCTTGCCCTAGTCCACCTAAGTAATAGTACTCCCTCCGTCCCGCTAACATTGGGACAAGAGGGAGTGACACACAAATTAATAAAAAGTGGTTTATGTGGTTTATATTTAATTGATAAAGTAATAATAAAGTAAGAATGATTTAGAGGCACACAAACTTTACCAAATTTGGTATGAGACATTTTTAATGAGACGGACCGATAAAGTATAATGGGACAATCATAGCGGGACGGAGATAGTAGTATACTACTACAAAAAAAATGGGCCCTTCCAAATTTTTGGGCCCTGTGCGGTTGGACACCCTGCACACCACCAGGACCGGCCCTGGGAGAGAGTGTCATAGATTCACTATTAATAAGGGAGCTACTTATATGAGCTTGCCATGTCGGTACACCCCTAATAAGGGAGTGTTTATGATTGCTTCTACTTTAAAAAACAATTTTTAATGTGATTTCAGATAAAGTGTTCAATATTAAAATTTGGTAGTGTTTGAGATAAAAATGTTTTTCAATAAGTAAAAGTTGGTAGCATGTAGTAATAAAAGTGTTTTTTTGTGTAATAGAAAAAATGAAAAATAGTTTAAAACACCTCTTTACTTGATTCATAGTTTTAGTTTTCAAGTGTTTAATTAAAAAGTTGTTACTTTTTTTATCGTCAAAACGACTTTCATTAAAATAGAGCAAACATGCAAGACAATATCAAGACAGCTATTACAGAACCGATCATAAGCCATATGAATAGACTTAGTTAGCAACTCATACAAAGCAACCTAACTCATTAGACACAAACAGTCAAGAATAAACCTAAAACGATCGAAAATGAAACACTGCATATCAAAATTTCATCAAAAATTAAAATACTCCAAACATACCTACTCAAACTGAAATAAAAACAAGTACTACTAAAGGAAAAATAATACGAAAATAGAAACTTTCCCCAAATTGCTTCTTCGCCCGAAAGTGGTTCGGGAGCTGGACGAGCTGCTGTAGTATGAGATGTTACTTGAAAACACTCATTTCAATTTTTTAAACTAAAAGATTAAAAAACATTTTTTAAGTTTTGCACTCACTCCCTTATTTTAATCAGCTTTAAATTGACCCACCATCCAATAATTTGATGTCATGTGTCAAACAGTTGTAGTAGAAATTTTTCATTTGTGCCATGAGTTTACAAAAAAAAATCCAAATTAAATTTATTTTACTATCTTTCATATAATAAAAAAATTGCATATGTAAAATTTAAAAGAAATTATTCCACGATCTAGTTTAGTTTATAAACGTCTTATCTGACTTGATCTGTTTAAGTCTGATCTGATTTGATTTATTTAAATTTGGTATGATCTAGAACTGAAATCAGTTTAATTAAAAACATTTTAAATGTCTCTCACATGTTTGCCAATTGATTCATACTTTTTACATAATGATGATGTATACCATTGGAGTAAGTCAAAGAAATAAAAATTAAAGACATTTAGTTTACTAGTATTATAGACGGTACTTATTCAAATGAATAATCCATTCTAGAATTGCATAAAATTAAAACACAATAATTATGTTTTGGAAAAACTCACATTAATAATTCCAATTGTTAGCGTTATTAATCCTAAACACTGTTATTCTAATATAATCTAAATAATAAAAAATGATTTTTCAGAACAATGTGACCGCCGTAAGTTTATGCGATAAATAGCCTATAAATTTATATTATTGTAGAATCATGTATATTTGAGATCAAGGAGAGTCAATTGTATCTAGATTATATATGGTGCGTATTTTTTCCCCATGGATTTTTTTAAAAAAGAGAATTTTTCACAAGTAGGAAAAAAAAAGTGAAAGTAATATCACTTTTGTCACTCTTAAAAATCCTTTTCAAAAATAGACTAATTAAAGTTTTTCTTTCAAATATAGACTATGTGCATATAACCAACCTACCAGAAGTGAAGAGTATGTTTCAACGAAGCGTGCCAGTAGCCTAAGAGCATCTCCAATGCAAAAACGTGAACGACGCATATGTGACATGAGAGATAGCCAATTAAAAAATACCGAATAGAATCTTTCTCCTTATTTGAACGGTCTTATATGTTTTTGGTAAGTTTTTCTCTACAATGTCAAACACAATGTCTAGATGTAGACATTGTGGTTGACAATGTTAAGAAAAACTTACCAAAAACACACAAAACCGTGGAAAGAAGGAGAAAGACATGTCATAAAGTTAATTATTTGTGTCTATCTCTCTCATGCCACATGTGTATAGTACACATTGTAGCATTGGAGATGTTCTAACTCTCCATACACCGACTTTGTTAAATTTTATCATACAAACTCCAAGAATTACTCAATAATGTTTTTAAATAGAAAAAGTGTAAATATTTAGTAAAATGTAAAAAAGTTGAAGGTAATTAGAATATAATAAAATTATTAAAAATAAGGTAAAATAAAAAATCAAATTAAGAAATCAAATACTACTTCCGTCCCACAAAGATTATGACGAGAGAAGGTGGCACGATTATTAAGAAAAGTGGGTTTGTGTGGTTGATATTAAATTGATAAAGTAAGAATAAAGTAATAATGGTTTAGAACCACACAATTTTTACCAAATTTGGTATGAGACAATCTTAGTGAGACTTCCCCGAAAAAGTAAAATGAGGCAATCTTAGCGGGACGGAGGGAGTAAGATGTAATAAAAATCTGAGGTTGAAAAGTTGTAAGTTAAAATTAAAAAATAAATAAGACAAATGTTAATCAAGAAATATATAGAAAATTTGGAAATGCAAAACTCAAAGTAAGATTAAGAAAAATAACCAAAAAACTTATACCACCCTTTATATGTATAAAAAGCACGTATAAAACCATATAAATATGCAGAGTAAATAATTGACATTTTATAAAATAAATAAAATTAAAAGTGAATATATAAAAAAAGTAAAAAAAAAATTACTCAAAAAATGAGAAGAAAAACTCTAAAATATTTAGAATTTAAAAAATAATAAAACTTATAAAAACTGGTTTCAAAATATTAAAATTATGGTACAACATTATAAACTTCTTATGAAACAGATATTATTTTAGAAACCAAAATATATTAAAAAGTATTAAATTTTTAAATTTTATAAATTATTATATAAATTCGAAAAATGATTAAAAAATGAATTAAATGCTATAAAAATAAAGAAAATAAAAAAATCTTTTCAAAAAATTAAAAAAAGAAAAGAAAATGTAATTAAACTAAAAAGCATGGAAAATATAAAACTCAAAAATAAAAATGTGAAAGCTAAAAAAAAATAAAAGAAAATTAAACATTGAAACAATTGAATAAATTAAAAATATGAATTTGTAATTCAAGTTTCTTTAAATAGTTACAAATTTAAAATGTTTTGTTGTATAGTTTTGTTGTATAGTATAATTCAATTGAGAATTGAACATTGAAACAATTCTATTTTCTTTAATTATTATATAGTTTTGTTGTTTGCTTTTTTGCCCATTGTTTCTTTTTGTTTCCTTTTGTTTATAGCTCCATTTTTTTTTGTTTCTTATTGTTTCTTTATGTTTCCCGTGATCAGTTTATATTCAGAAGTCCAAATTTATCAATTTAGGTGATTGAATATAAATCTATGTATTTTTTTTTACCTTAAAGAAGTCCCAAAGATAAATAAAAACCTAAAGGAACAACAAAAATCAAGATCAACGATAAAACAAAATATGTAACACAATGTAACAACAAGCAACACGATGAAACAAAAAACAACATGAAGCAACAAAAGCAACACATTTAATACAATAAAAAGAAACAAATAACAATATATAAAAATAACACACTAATTATGTAATTCAATCTAGTATTTCAATGTATTACATATATCTATTATATAATTTGGCTTTCCTTCATATCACTTCTTCGTATGCATCTTAACACACAATTCTTCAGGGTTGACCATTTTGTCTTCACGTTCCTAGATAATCTTCATTGTATTGTCGAAATCAATGAATCAAGGAACCTTCAGCATAATTGAAAATGACTTCTCAAGCAATCCACGGTTTAGGCAAGTAGGTGAACTGAGAAGTCTTAGTATTTGTGTAAGTCCACCAATATTTTGTTCATGCCAAACAATAAAGCATATAAAAGCACAATAATACGAGTACTCTTTTTCTCATGCATCTTTTCGTAGTATCTTGATAATATCATATCAGCTTAACACACTAACATGAACAAACAATATAGAAAATTTTTTATGTATGTATTCCACTAGAATATCAATATTGGATTTGTTTATTTAGCAAGATAGCAGTTGTCATGGGAAGGTAAATAGTTAGAGCATCTTTAATGCTACATTCTTAACATGAAGTAAAATTTTACACATGGCAATCAATAAGTGGAATGTTCATCCATGTCATTTAAGAGTGATTTTATTAGACGGTGAACCCCCAAAACTTGGTCCGGTGCTTCATATCAAAATCCAAAATCATAAGCTTACATTTAAAAAAAATACGGAGTAAGAATCACCATTTTTGAACAAAAAATCATGCACCACTACACGTCTACACCCCTACATATTCGGCGATGAGTTACTTTACAAAGCCACTACTCACATTGTGGTTTATTTATTATGTCGCCCAAACGTTTTTTACGATATTCATCATGCGAAAGATGTTGTTATCACAAGAAGCCGTTGAGGTGGAGTCCATACCATATGCTGCTAGCCCTGTGTTTGATAATTATGATAATGTTGACTTACATGATTCTGATTCTTCTGAATTGCATGAATCTAATGAGAATGTTGATTCTAGTGAAAATGATCTGCATGATTACCAACTTGCTAGAGATAGAAGTAGGGGAGTAATCAGGAGAACTGCCGATAGTATGCCTGATTTTGCTTTCCATGTATGTGATACTTCTATGTTTGCTTTTTCTGTGTTTGAGACCCTTGAGCTTGACAAACCTAGAACCTATAAAGAGGTCCTTAAGTCTAATGAGTCCGCTAAATGGCATTGCGCCATGAAAAGTGAGACGGAGTCACTTGGAGTGAATAAGACTTGGACGTTAGTTCCTAGACCGCCCAATAGTTCCGTTGTTGAGTGTAAATGGCTATTTAAGGTTAAGGAAGAGCCTAACAACGTTAGATATAAGGCTAGACTGGTAGCTAAGGGATTTACTCAAAAGAAAGGTGTTGATTATGCTGAAATCTTTACTCTTGTTGTTAAAATTACTACGATTAGAATGATGCTTGCTCTTGTTACTCATAATGATTAGGAAATGAAGCAAATGGACGTCACAACTGCTTTCTTGCATGGTGATTTAGACACGAAAATATGTATGTCTTAGCATGAGGGCTTTGTGGATCCCATGAAGAGTGATCAGGTGTGTTTTCTTAGGAAGGTCTTGTACGGTCTGAAGCAGTCCCCTAGACAGTGGAATATCAAATTTGACCAGTGCATGTCATCTTTGAAATTTCACAAGTCCGAGTGCGACCATTGCCTATACTTTAAAAATACTTCTTCTGTGCCTGTATTTTTATTGCTCTATGTGGATGACATGTTAATTATTAGTCCTTCGGGTGACGCCATTAAATGTGTGCAAAAACGTCTCAGTGAGAACTTTGCAATGAAAGACCTAGGTGATGTCAATAGGATCCTAGGCATTAACATTGTTAGGGATAGGAGTAAGCGTGTGTTAATACTCAATCAGATTTCTTACGTTGAAAAGATTTTGAGTAAATATAACATGCATTCTGCCACTCCCGTCTCTATCCTTATGGCGTCTCACTTTGTTTTAAGTAAGGATCAGTCTCCCAAGACTGCTTTTGAAATTGTTAAAATGAAATTTATGCCTTATTCCAATGATATTGGGTCCATGATTAGGCATGGACTCGGGTCGGGCCTAGGCCCGGTCGGGCCTTCGGTTTGTAACACATGGACCCGGAACCGTCCCGAGGTTTGGACGGGTCCAGTTCGGGCCGGGCCACCTGCCCGGATCACGGGTTCGGGCCACCCGCTGGGCCGGGCCGGGCCGGTTAAAACTATTTTTTTATATAATTTATACTTTATAGTTTTATACAAGTATTAAAAACAAACTTCAAGTGCATTTATTTGAAATGAAATAGGAACTACATTTGAAAATTAAGATAAACATACAATATGAAATACTAATCAATCATTCAATCGGAATCTCCGACATAGGTAGAGCCACCCTCGGTTGTAGATTCATCCATAAAGTGTTGGGATGGGGTGATGTCAATTTCTTGAACTCTACGGGCCGCTTTCAACCAATCATGGTAGCATATAAGCATCTCAAGAGATTCTGCGCTCAACCTCGTTCTATATTGCGTTTGGACATTGCCAGCCGAACTAAATTCTTATTCCACGACAACTGTTGAAACCGGCATTGATAGCACTTGCTTAGCCATCTTTGCTAAAACTGGGAACATTCTTTCTTTTCCTTTCCACCAGTTTAGTACGTCAAAATCATCATCTTCTTCAAAATCAACATCATATGTTAAATACAAAGAAATCTCATTAATTGTGCTTTGTTGCGTAGCGGGAGTTGATTTCGTTTTTTAATAAGATTGGCAAATGTAGATTTGAAAATTGATTTTCCTATAGATGATGTTTGTGTCAGGGGAGGGGGCGCATTGCCATATTGTGCATGAAACTAATTAAATAATGCATAAAATTTATCACTAACCTCGTTGTATTCTTTTTTCGGATCAATTGGGTTGTCCTCATACATTGGCAATGGACCAAAAAAAGCAGCATAATAATAATTCAAACATCCTTCCAAAGAACCAAGTCTAAAACGAGGATCGAGAACAAATGCAATACCATAAATATGCGGAATATGTGAATAATATTTTAAAAAATTTTCCTTCATAAAACTAGCAAAATAACTCACATAATCAACATTCTCAAAATTTGAAAAAGCACCGGCGAGATTAACAGCTTCACGAATAAATTGGTTTGAGGTAGGTTTATAAACATGACTAAAAGTTTCAGTTGCATTATTAAAATATATCAAAGCATTACAAATTTTTCACAGGTGTCGATCTCAACCGAGTTTATAATATAGTTATCATATTGTTTCATAAAAGCAGGAAAATGTTGTTTATATCTAAGAAGAACTCCAATTAACTTATAGGTACTATTCCAACGAATAGACAAATCTTTATGAAAAGCCACATATTTCTCACCTCTTTCTATCAAATAATCATGTCATTTTTTTCTGAGTTGTCCATTACCCCAAATACGTCTAATCCCACCTTGACTACCTCCAAAGATGCTCCCAACGCTTTTAGACCATCTTGCACACATAAATTTAGAACATGACATGCACATCGTTGATGAAAAAATCTACCCATCAAAGAAATAGAACCACACAATTCACGCAATCTAGGAATAACAGCAGTATTATTAGTAGCATTATCAAACCAATAGCAAATACCTTATCAATTAAACTATACTCAATTAAAATACGCTCAATCAAAATATAAATATGTTCAGCGGTGTGACGATCATTAAATTTACAGAAAGCAAGAACACGTTTATGCATATGCCAATCATTATCAATATAATATACAGTCAGACCCAAATAATGTAAATTATGATAAGTATCCTCCCATATGTCAGAACATATAGTAACACGCCCATCAAAGTTTACAAAATAATTTTGTAACCTTACTTTTTTCGCACCATAAAGCCTTGAAATTTCTTTCTTAACCGTTTTGCGACTATAACCTCTATATTGCGGATTTAAACAAGTTTGTGCATAATCACGAAAAGCAAGACTTTCAGAAAACAAATAAGGCAAAATTTCTTCAACAAGTAAGTTATCCATACCAGTCAAATTTTGTGCATCATTGTATGAGAAATTACCAAAAGCTTGTTGGTTATTTGCAAACCTCGATATTTGAGTTTGCTTCCCCGTTCCGCCGCCTAATTTTGCATACTCCACCGGGTGTTTGGACTTAAGATGTCTTGTGGCGGATCCGTATCCGCCGGAAATCCCCAAGCTATTTTTCTTGCACCAATTGCAAGTTGCGGTCTAATTCCCGGTGTTCGGGTCCTTCCACTTATAAAAATCATTAGCCATTAGTTCAGATTTACTTTTTTTCGTACCGGTTTGGGATGAGGCAGGCTCGTCGGCGTCGTGGCTCTCCGGAATTACTTCCTCCACATCGTCGTCCTCGATCTCTTCTTCGTCAATGGTCCTCAGTTGGTCTTGAAAAAAGCGAGAATTATGTCGGTGCAATTCTTGTTCTAGTTGTTCGTCGGTCATCGCATCCCCATCTCTCCTTGCGTAACCCATATCAAAATCATCTCGACTTTGAGATGAAGAGCCGATATGTGATTTACCTTTGCGGGATCTCTTCCTCGCAAGCTCTTTCATTCGGTTGCGCTCGAGGTTACCCATATCAACCGAATATCTAGGACGATCCATCTAAAAAATGTAACAAATATTAAATTGCAACAAATATATTAATAAAAATATATTAATAAAAAATTGGAGTTATAGCAAATTAGTATTTTAAAGTTTACTTTAATCAAATTAACCAGTGAATTAACTAGTTTTGTGTACAACCTATTTTTTTAACTAACAATAAAATTAATATACTTTAACTTTAACTATAATGAGAATTAACTAGTTTTTTAAACTAGAGTCAAAGGTAGCAATTAATAAAAAATTGTAATAAAGTAATTAACTATTAATCTAACTATTAATTCGAGTTATAGCAAATTAGTATTTTAAAGTTTACTTTAATCAAATTAACTAGTGAATTAACTAGTTTTGTGTACAACCTATTTTTTTTACTAACAATGAAATTAATATACTTTAACTTTAACTATAATGAGAATTGACTAGTTTTTTAAACTAGAGTCAAAGGTAGCAATTAATAAAAAATTGTAATAAAGTTATTAACTATTAATCTAACTATTAATTCGAGTTATAGCAAATTAGTATTTTAAAGTTTACTTTAATCAAATTAACTAGTGAATTAACTAGTTTTGTGTACAACCTATTTTTTTTTACTAACAATGAAATTAATACACTTTAACTTTAACTATAATGAGAATTACAACTAGTTTTTTGTACAACCTATTTTTTTACTAACAATCAAATTATTATAGTTTAACTTTAACTCTCATGAGAATTAACTAGTTTTTTTTTCAAGTAACGTTAATACAAAATTAAACAAGTGTAAATAATAGAATGATTTCGTACCTCTTTCGGACTTTCGGATGAGAGTAATAGAATGACTTCAAATCAATTAGATATAATTCCAACTATATTAATAGATATAATAAATGTATAAGTAATATATAATTAGATAAGAAATATAAGTAATATAATGTATGTATTTATAAATTATAAGTAGATAATTAATATAAAGTAGATATATAAATATAATATATTGGATAGGGATGAATTCGGGCCGGGTCGGGCCCGGGCCAGGCCTAGGCCCGGTCGGGCCGCCGGTTCAAGAACAGTGGGCCCGGGACCGGCCCGAGGGTTGGACGGGTCCGGTTCGGGCCGGGCCACTCGCCCGGGTCACGGGTCGGGTCCGGTTCGGGCCGGGCCGGTTAATTTTTTTTTTATAATTTATATATTATATTTTATATAATATAAACTACATTTGAAATGAAATAGGAACTACATTTGAAAATTAAAACAAACTTTAAGAGATAAACATTTTGAAAATTGTAATCAATCGGAACTTCCCGCACCTCCCGATCCTTTGGCTTTGTCACATGACTTCATATGCTTGATTGCCATCCCGAATCCGCCTGAAGCCCCCATAATACATTTTTTTTCGCACCATTTACAAATTGCGTACCACATCCCGGTCTTCGGGTCCTTCTGCTTATCAAAATTATACCGTATAATGGCATTTTGATTTTCCATCTTAACTTCTTGGAGAAGAGAATTAGAGAGTAGATATATAATATATTGGAGAATAAGAGAATTAGAGAGTAGAGAGTTAAGAATACTAGAATAGGATTTAGGAAGAATTGGAGAAGAGTAGGAGAATTTATAGGTTTTTTTACCCCCCACCCCCCCCACCCCCACCCCCTACCAGCCAACCCCCCCGGACCCCCCCTTTACCCCACCCAACGGCTATATAGCCGTTTGGGTTGTCCCCAGCCCCACCCCCAAGGCCTCAACGGCTAGTAGCCAAAAAAAAAAAGTTTTTTTTATAAAAAATAGACTCGGACCCGGGCCGGGTCACTAAAATGATGAACCGAGCCCGCCCCACCCCTTCCCCCCGGTTCGGGCCCATACCCGGTCCCGGACCGCCCGACCGGGCCGGTCCCGGGCCCGCACAGTACCGGGCCGGGCCGGGTCACGGGCCGGGTGGCCCGAACCGAATCCATCCCTATTATTGGAGAATAAGAGAATGAGAGAGTAGAGAGTTAAGAATATGATTTAGGAAGAATTGGAGAAGAGAGATGAAAAAATGTTTTAGATTAGGAGTATTTATAGGTTTTTTTACCCCACCCCCACCCCTCCACCCCCCAAACCCCCTGGACCCCCCTGCAGCCCACCCCCCAACAGCTAGTTTGGCCCAAAAGTCCAAAACATTTTTTTAAATGTGACCGTTGGACCCGGACCCGGGTCAACTATTTCCGGAACCGAACCCGCCCCGCCCATTCCCCCCGATTCGGGTCTACACCCGGTCCCGGACCGCCAGACCGAGCTGGTCCCGGGCCCGCACAGTAGCGGGTCAGGCCGGATCACGAGCCGGGTGGCCCGAACCAAATCCACCCCTATCCATGATGTATCTCATGGTGAGTACTAGACCCGACATTGCCTATGTTGTTAGTTGTTTGAGTAGGTATATGTCTAACCCCGAGTTACCCCATTGGAATGCTCTTAAGCGGTTGCTTAGGTACTTGAAATCTACTATTAATCATGGGTTGATTTTCTCTAGGTGTTTTGAGGGTGTTAAATTGAGTGAGTATGTGGATTCGAACTTTGCTAACGAATAACGATAGAGACAATAGGAAATTCACTACCTCTTATGTGTTTACTCTCTGTGGGTTGTGCATTAGTTGGAAGTCTCAACTTCAACCCATGGTAGCTTTTTCTATCACCGAGCATGCGTATGTGACCGCTACCGAAGTGTTTAAGAAAGCCATTTGGCTTAAATGTCTCCTAACAGAGATTGGTAGTCTTAAACAGGACATTTGTGTGTTTTCTGATAGTCAATCTGCTATTCAACTGTGCAAAAACCCTGTTTAGCCATCCCAGTCTTCCAGACAAATTAGTTCATCATCAACCATGCCCAAATTAACAAAAAAAAACACTGCAAAAAATCCCAAATTCACTTTAGTGATTATTGTTCATGACTAAAAATGAGCAATTATTGGGCTATAAAATCTGAATCCTTTTTCTATTTCCGTATACATCTATATCACACTCTAATTCTGTATGATCATTTGCTACGTTTTCTTTTTAATTTAATCAAACGTCTCATTCCTTTGTACTTGAATAAATCAGACATGGGGTGGGAATGTTCGTTGTAGAGAAGTATGAAGCCATGAAGGTCTACCAACCCCTGATGTTCACACACTGGGGGGCAGATGGCAGGAATACCTTAGGGTCCGGTGTGAGGAGAGAGATTGCTTCAGTGCATCATCTATTTTTGAACCGCCCTGGAACAAAGAATCATATAACTCACACACAAAAAGGCACAACTCTCCCTCCTCATCGTCCCATATGCCATTATTATTATTGTTATTATTTACACGTGCCCCATTTCTCTCCACATCACTGTCTTCCCAGTCGCTAGCTGGGCTTGAAGGTTCAGTATCGTCATATTCCATTTCATCCTCTCCGATCTCAAACCTTCCGTTCTCTATGGCGTTGAATTCCCCAGAACCGTGGAAGGTTGATGATTGTGTTTCGTCAGGCTCGGTGGAAGGGCATATAATGGCCTTAGCACCGGAGTCTAGAAATCCCTTGATTAAGGACTGCGTAGGACCATATATACCCGTGAAGATTATAATCCTGTCTCTCCATGCCCCAACCTGGAAACGAAGAAATGCACAAGTGGTTCAAAGACTGGTGATTTGCATTTATTTCACTCTGTGCTTGTTCTACTCATGCTAAAGAATTCTACCAGTTTGACTTTTAATAATATACACTTATTTGATTGTGCTGGCTAATCGTCCCATTTCCTACCAAATGCTTATAAATGATCTTGACAAATGAAATGTTTCTAAACATGACTAGACTTATATGTTAACCTATTATGTTATTTATTCAGTTCTAATAAAATATCGAACATATATAAAAATATAGACTGCACCTATTAAATTTCTCCCCTCCAAATCAGTCAAGAAACCTTCATTCAAACTGAGCTTAACTTATTTGACAGAACCAGTTTATATAGACAGATAATTAAAACAAAATAGTGCAAAAGTTGTTTATTTTAAATGATGCAATGGTTCTAATGAAACAAGATTACACTACTACCTCATTACCAGGATATTATTTCCTTAAGTTTATTAAAGCAATGTGTCTACATGATCGATCCTACTAAACTGACAACTTGCCTTATGTGGCTGTTCCAAACCTTTTCTTTTAAAGTGACAAATTATTATTATTATTATTATTATTATTATTTCTCTCTCTGCAGAAATCTCAATTGTACATTTTTTTTCTTATTTCACCCTTCACTCAAACTTAGCAATGTTTTGTGTGGCAGGGGGGTGTCAACAATGGCAGCAAATTATTTCCGCCACCAAATGGCCTTTTAAATTTTTAATGAATTGGTGAAAGAATATGATTGAATAAGCAAAACGAAGCAGTATACAAATATTCAAGACTAATAAATCAACTTGTATACATTATTGCATGGTGAAAGAGTGCATATAGAAAAAGTATACTATGAGACAGCATACCATCCACCTAACATCTTCTGGGGTTAAGTGTATGGAAGGGACTGTTCTACGAAACATATATGCACCGATTTCTTGGTCATCTTCCATCACCTTCATAAAGGAAAAAAATATTACCTATCTTACAAGTGGGTTGTTTTGGCCAACACAGAAAGGGAAATTTTGACTTGCACTCCATGATCTACTTTAGTATTTGACTTCACATCCCATGATTTACCTCAAATGTTGAATAAGGATGTTTTTAATTGGATTGATTTCATTCCAAGACCAGACCTAAACAAACCAGATCAGACTAGACTAGATTTCGACAGCTGTAAAGTGAACATATAAGAGACATCTACCGAACTAGACTTAGACAGACCAGACAAGAAAATTTCAGTCTGATTACAAACATCCTAAATACCCATGTGGGGTGCATCAACAAAATATTAAGACCATGGGGGTGCAAAGTTATATGAAAGTAAACCACGGGATAGGAAGTCAAAATTCCCAATAATAAATGTGGGTAGGTGTTACTGAATGAAGTGATACTTGTGTTTGTCGCCCTATATAACGGTGAACAACACCTCCGATTTGGAAGAATGGTCTGCACGAAACTAGTTCAGCAATGGTCGAGATACCCGTAATGACTGATGCATATTTCCTCCTTTGCCCCCGCAGCATTGACATCAGGCTGAACTTGACACTCTTTAGGAATTTCTCTGCATGTTCTCCTGGTTCAGCTACCACAAATACATCATTCTGCCAACTACAGTGTATAGAAATGTATTGAAAAGGTTAGTAATCCCTCAAAAGCTTAGCCCTGGTTTGATTGGAGGCTTGGGAGGGGGGGGGGGGGGGGGTGTTGTTGTGTGTCCGCTTTGGGTAGTAATGAGGGAAAGCGGAAAGTTGAGGAGCTATAGAATCCCTCAAAACTTCTCATATACCACTCCACTAATTTGGGGGATTCATATTTTCTGTAACTTCTCCTCACTTTTCTAATCAAAACTGTTGTACATTGTTATTGTTATGCATGCGTACTTGCATATTATTATTTACAACTAGGCATGTATCAAATACCGAGTACATTTTATATATTTCTTATAAACACCAATTTCTCCTCTCACCATTGGACCAAAAATAGTATTAAATCTGTCAACCCGTAAAAAATCTTGTTTTTCTGTAAAAAGTTCTGTTTTCCCAATGTACATATATTTAAGTTTGGTAAGGTAAAACTATCTTAAATCATGATTCGTACTGATATTATAAAAATATTTATATGTTCAGCTAGATTTATAATATATGTGTGCCTTTTTTGACAACTTTTTTATCAAACTCGATTGCTAAGAAGAAATGTTTAGGTCTTTAGGACAAGAAGAAATGGTTGGAGCAAGACATTTTTTTTTGGATAGAATAGAATTTTAACTCTTCCTTTTCCTCCCTCTATCTTTTGAGCCAAACAAGGGGTTAAAAAGTACATTATGGGCGCAGATCTAACCTTATTATGGAGCCATACATGTCATTTTGCAAGGCTAGGTGCACAACCCCAACCTGGGGTGAATTTTGCAGTTTTTCATGCAGAGATAGAATGGGCAAAGAAACGCTTTGGCGTTTAGCAGGTGACTCAGGAGGTGATAAACCTCCTTTTCCAGATTGGAATTCGTCCAAGCTTAATGGCGGCACTAAATCGATTCGACCAGCCTTATGATGCCCAAAATCAGGACTGTATAGGTGAGGGCTTGATGGGAAGCTCCCAGTAAATAAAGGCGACACAAAGGGTGTTGGGAAACTTGATCCGGTAGCTTTAACACTTCCAGATACACCATTGAAAACAGATAGCCTTATTCCGTTTGTGGTGCAAAATGATTCGAGCGAGCGAGCATGGTGGAACACTCTTCCAGAATCTGGACTATTGGAGGCCTCCACGAGTAGGATACTCCTCCTCCAACCTAAGGAGGGGCTACTCTCATCTGAAACCATAAATATCAACAGTAAGAAAACAATAAGTTCAAAATTTTATCTTATATTCTTATCAATATAACCTAGAAAACTACAACTACCTCACCCCCCAAAAGTCACATTTTACCAACCTTCCAACATTAGTAAGGTACAACTACTAGAAATGATGAGCTAGAAATCCTAGAATGAATGTTAACTTTCCCCGTGTTGTTTATAATATTTTGAAAAAATAAAGGAAATGCCATGTGGTATAATGAATTAATGATATGTACGATAGTATATATCTTTAAATTTGTATGAATAATTATCTCTATTTTCCTAAACTTTAAATTATGCATACATACATACATGCGCGCATATAAAGATACATATATACACCTATTTACTCAACCTTATTTTCCTAGACATTAATGATAAAGTATTGGCTTATGGCACAATAATAGGACTCCATTTACCATGTAATTGAAGAGTCACATAGACCGATTAGGATGATGCTCTATGCTCCAGGAAATGTCCTTTTTTAAATATTGATATAGAATTACTGGTTGATTTAACTGAAATTAACTTGTTTGAGGCATTTAAAAAAATACATTGAGCATAACAAAAATTATTTTCTTTTGTGCAAAGTTCAAACACTACTTGTTTGGGACAAAACAAGGTTTCGGACAGGACTCTGTTTTTGGGAGAGTGGGAGTATAGAAAAGATAGCACATAAATTAATGCCACCTTTTGCATTCTTTTCTTTGTAGAAGTGTTGAGATTTTGAGCTATCCACTTGCTTCTCATCATGTGGGCTTGCTAACAACCTTTCAACAACACTTTTGAAAGCTGCAGATGTGTTTTGCATGTACTCATCAGTGGCAGCCTCCAATTTTAACCAAACTGCAGGATCTGTTTCATCAAGCTCCATATCACATCGCTCATCCACTGCATAAACGTTTAAACTGGTAGTCATAAAATAGAAATACCATAAAAACACCCAAATGGAAATGCAAAAAATGTGAGTACTATAAGTCAACAAGATAACAGCCCCTGGCATCTACCATCTGGCTCTCCTTTTTTTCACATTTCCCTCAAAAAACTATGAATTCAATATATACAATTTAGGAGGACCAAAATGGTCATTAAAGTTATCTGCAAAACTCAGATTGAACACAGGTTTTAATTGGACCAAATTAATACAAAACCACCTTTTTGTATCATTTTTGGAATTTGGATACAAAACCACCAAACTAATTCTTTACTTCCCTCCAATATATTTAAACCCTAATCTTCACCTTACCCAAGCCCCCACGCCCCTTTCTCTTATAGGCTCTACTGATCGGAAATTTTTATTCCCACAATCAGTTCCGAATAACAAATCCAGTTCCCAAATAATTTTAAATACTGCTGCATTGATCTCCCCCCTACTCCCAAAAGTTCAACTGTGAATCACCCAAATCCATGAAGCCAACAAATACGCAGATCGAGCACAATCACCAAAACCAGCAATTTCACCTTTTCTCCTTCCCCCAAACTTTTGTTTTGACCACACCCAACCTGCAGGACTGACCACTTTGTACCTTGCTTTGCGATCCGAATGGCAACAGAGAGTTCTTGAACCCAATGAAAACGGTAAAGGTCAAAAGGGTTCAGTTCATTAAGTACAGGGCGTTTTAAAGCTCACCATCGTTGATGGTCGGAGAGCCAGCGTTATTCTGTCAATGACTCAGATTTGATCCACATTCTTGCGATGAAGGAGGTTTAAATCTCTTATTAAAGGAGATTACATAATTCTATGTCATCTTAGAAAGCAACAATTTAACAGACAGCAATCAACCCACATATGCCTGCCTCAATTCATCTTTCTTAGATATTCAGATATTGCTCTATAAGTTCTTTCTAACTCTAGGCTTGATCGACTTTTCTTGTTCATCAGGCATACTTTGATGTGGTTAAAACCCTGCTTATTATGAATGTTAGTAAGTGTCCGAATATTATGAAAAAGGTGGATTTTGTGTTAATTTGGTCCAATTAAAAGCAAATGAGTTAATGTCTAATCAGAGCTTCACAAATAACTATAATATCCATTATGGTCTTTCTCCCTTATTATTTTGATGAACTAATGGTGGTGGTGTGGTTGGAATGTTTTACTTCTTTTTATGATTATGATTGTTAGAAAAAACTAAGAGAAATAATAGAAAGTTAATACCCATTAAGAGAAATAATAGAAATAATAGAAGAAAAACAAAACTAAATAAAGCAATTACTACAAATTAAACAAACTAAACGCAATTCACCAAAATTACCAAGTTGTGGTGGTATGGTATGGTTGTTGATTAATAAAAGAACTACTTTTATTTATATGACTTTTGAATAGAACCCTCATTATAATTTCTACAGATTATTGCAACAATCATATGGAGGAACAATGTACCTAACTCTAGGATGGAACAAATCTAATGAGATTAGGAACCATAATACTTTTCTTTTCAAAACTGATGACACCATCCGTAACCATAATATTTTTAAAACTAGGATTACTATATTTCTACAGCTAAACACTGAAAAGCTATCCAACTCATCAATCTCACTCACCACATTGATCGAAGTAAGCCACAAGCCCACAACAAACTATGATGCAGCAAAAAAATCATGTGCTAGTTCTCAAAATAGAACTGCCCTTAACATCTAGTATAATGGTCACTGTATACAAAACCATTAACTTCACCTGGATTAAAACGAAAATAATGTACATCAGGAAGCATAGGAAGCAGTGTGCTTAAGGCTTCCTCCACTCGATCAACAGAGCATGCACTCTCGATCAACACCTGACCAGTATCTAGATATCGCCATCCACCTCTCCTGACCTAAGAAAACAGGAGAAATGACCAAGCAGATAAATGAATGTTCACAGTAGAAACGAAAGAGCATCAAGTCATAAAGTAGTACTTTATCCAACCAAAGTGCCATCAAGGGATCATTTCTTATTATCCCGGTAAATCATTATTTATTTAAGGCAAGTTTGCCTTATCCTGGTAAGTCAAACTGTCAAACCACATACTTAGTAGTAATTACGTAAGCTTATGATTATCATTATTTGTATTCTATAATTGCAGCAAATTTTAAGGACAAAATTTCAGGACAATAACACAAATTTATCATCGCAGCATTGCTCAATAAAAAGAAATCTACTCATCTGAAAAAGGCCAACCTTCCAAATCTATGACCTTAAAGAAGGCCTCTAATATGTGAGCAAAATACCTTTGTCGGAACAGAACCACATCCAATAGAAACTAAGCAGTCAATTCTTGCATCTGGCCATAATAGCTGCGCTTCTCGTATTGCAAAAATGGTAGGGTTGTTTGCCACAATAGCACCATCCTGCCAGCGATATACACCTGTGGAAATTATTATTTTTAAAGAAACTAAGCAAAAGATAGATATGTGTGCACATAAAAATCTGAACCAAAAAAAGGAGTCGTGTTTCAAAATTTATTTTATCTCAACAAAGAGTACAAAATAATCAAATCTAGGGGGTGAGCATGTTACTAATTTTATGCAAACATACAAGAAGGTATGGTACCATCAGAGAAATCATCAAGATAATATGGTGCAGCAGATGATGCACGTATGGCCTGCCAGATGTGATGCTTGCAGCTTCCAATAAATGAATTACGCGTCACTCCAACTTGAGCACCAGTAGTTGCTGTTACCATTTTCTCAGTGTTAGCAAGGGAAGCCTCTGGCGTACCGGGTGGATACTGCATTTAAAATGAGAAAATTTCAGAAATGAATTCCTATCTGACTTGTGGATCATTAGGTCATACCCATGGTTTAAAAAGGCGCTTATGAGGCGGGTTCTGAGGCGCGCCTCAAGCTGAGGCGTACTGGTTGGGTATCAAGGCGTAGGTTTTTTCCGCAGGTAAAGAGGCTTACGCCTCATAGATTGAGGTGCACGCCTTGAGGCGCGCCTTGAGGCGTTTGTTGAGGCGCACGCCTTGAACACTTGCGCAGTGACTTAAAACAGGCCCAAGTATTTCATTTAATAAAAAGCCCAGAGTTCTTTCTAAATAGAAGCCCATATACTAAACCCTAACAAGTTTTATTTCATTCAAATCCTGATAAGGATTTGAAGGATTTGAACCTTCACGTTTACTTTCTATTCACCTATGCAAAGAACTCTCTTCTCCTGCGACATCTCCTTACAACAGACCAAAAGCTTCCAGGTAACTTTTCTTCTCCTCTCTTCTTCTCCATCCCCTTCTCTTTCTCCTATTCTTATTCAACTCCTCTCCTTCATTTCTTCTCCTTCACGGCTTTTTATCCTTCTTTTACAGAACTGTTGTTCTTCTTCTCCTTCACTGCTTCTTATCCTTCTTTTACAAAACTGTTGTTCATGTTTTCTAACTGGTAAAGGATTTACTTTGCTTCCTTAGTCATGTCATTAATAATACTTCTGTGTAGATTTAGTTTAATGGTGAGAGGTTCAGAGAAAAGATGTCATGCTTCTACTGCTACACCTAGTAGTTCTGAAGGCCTTGGTGATGCAATTTGTGTGGGTTGTTTCTGTGTGTTTGTGAGACTGATGTGTCTGTTTTTGTGAGATGTTTCTTTTTGTGTGTTTGAAGCCTAGTGACTTACTGGTAATAGGTCACATGTATTTGTGTCTCACACTTTTTGGACTTATAATTATGGATATCCTTTACTTCTTGAGTTGTTTGTTACTAGTTTAATTATATCAAGTTTTATGTCTGTATTTTTTTAGGCTTACGCCTCAATACACCTCAAGGCTTATGCCTCGCCTCTTAGGAACAAACCGCCTTGAAACCCGAACCCGCCTTTTTAAACCTTGGTCATACCACCTCCATCCCACTTTATGTCTCATTTGGATTTGGCACAATTTTTAATAAAGTGGATGAAAACGTAAAAGTTGTGGTTTAGATTTGAGTATAATAAAGTGAAATGTTCTGAACCACATATTTCATTCCAAAAAGGGAAATGTGACATTTATTTTGGGACAACCCAAAAAGTAAGTAAGACAGGTAAAATGGGACGGAGGGGTATATGATAATCCATATATATGGGACCTGATAATTTCGGAATATGAAGGGTTGAGCTGGTGACACGCTAACTAGTGTTGATACAACAAAAACTTTAGGAGTTCCTTTCACAGCTGACTCTATAAGGAGATCACCATCCTCATCAGCACACATCTCCCTTAACAATCTCTCAAAGTGTTCTGCACTGTGCTGGAAGAAGATAATTTGTTATTCGGAAATTCAGACTATAAATATATCATGGTTGTTTCATCATAAATCGTGTTACTGTCATTTCTTAGCAAAACTTCCACATAAAGTATTATGTAGTATATTAATAGTTGATTTTTAAGTTCTGCTTGCCCAAATACCATTATAAGTTCAAAACATCCTTGATTACATAGAGTTCACAAAGATTTCTATTTTTAAAAATCAAAACACCAATTACTGTTATGGTTTCAAAAATTGCAGTTTTAGCCCATGATGTGTTCAAATTATGTCAAATTAATAGCTGATATTAAAATTCTGCTCGACAAATATGAGTACGAGTTCAAAACATCCTTGAATACATAGAGTGCACACAAAGAATTCAATTTTTTAAAATCAAAACACCAGATACTGTTATGGTGTGATTGGTAAGAAAGTGCAGTATTAGTCCATTTTCTGTTCAAACTTAGTCAATTTAGATCCTCATTCCTCACACATGACACTTGCAAAATAGGTCAACTCATTTCATTTTCATTTACCCCAGTGCCGAAAAGGCTCCCACCTATGGTGGGGTAAGGGGGGGTCAGATGTACGCAGTCTTACCCCTGTACTAAAGCAGGGAGAGACTGTTTCCGATGACCATAGTGAAAATCCCGTCCAAAATTGCATGGACTGACTGCTGCTTCATAACAAAGAAGCGCAGACAGTTTAGTGAGCCATAGTCCTTGGCTAATAAACTCATGTTGCAAAATAGGTCCTTGGCTTAACCTTTCCAACAATGTACCTTTAGTTGTGATAGAACCCTATTTATGACTTGTGAATATTCACAGAATCTTTTGATAAACTCCTGGTTATTCTGTAGAACGACCAACAATAAAGCTCTTTAATAAAATTATTTTGGAAGTAAACAACTTGCCTAATAGCATCAGGCAATTGGGTATAATGCCTTTCTGTTCATGAGTACGGTGTTTTGTAATGAGACAGGCTTGGTCAATAATAGGTTGATATTTCAAAAGGCATGGGTTTATGAAGAGTTGGGGATTGAGGAGATGAGTGTGTAAGAGCATATGATTATGAGGCAAAGAGTATGTATGAGGAACATTTGCACATACTTGACCTAGCTAAGGACTGATTTTACAACTGCTATTTGAGGGTACTGAACAAACGAAAATCACCCAATTGAGGGACTAAAGATGCATTTTCACTATTTTTATTTTTTATTTAAATATATTAAGAGGTAAAAGCCAATTAAAATTAGAACTTCACTTATGCTAAAAGAAAGCAAAAAAGAAAAATAATGAAGGTGACACATACTTTAGATCCGTGTACAACAACTCGGAAACTCTGAGATGAACTCTTGTACAGTTGATCCAGCCTTTCTCTCCAAGATGCTGCTTCATTGTCCTTCGGAACAGGTTCAGCAAAAACGAGCTTACCTACAATGTTCATTGTGAAGGGGGTTAAGAAGAAGAGATATAGTGATGCAGATGTTACCTGTCAGAGAATTGTGATACTGTCAGAGAAAACTAACCAAGATCCTTATATATTTCTTCACATTTCTCCAAAGACATAAGCTTGATTCCAAGAGCGACTGCAAGCATGCCACCAGTTGATGTGCCACAGATAAGGTCAAAGAGTTCATGTATCCGTTTCCCAGTGCCTTTCTCAATTTCTTTAAGAATTCTTACAGTTGCCAGACCTTTCATGCCGCCACCATCCATTGACAGTATGCGTAAGCCCTGTTTAGGCACCTGTCTAATCCGAATAGCACGCCGTAGAACCTCATTCTCCCCTGATGGAAAGAGAGAACTAAATTCCAACAAGATTCAAAAAGAAGATTCCAAATATAACAAGCTATTTTTTTCACAAACCAACCTAGAATTGCTAGAGCTCGAGCCGCAGCCTTACTCACATTTGGCTCAGATGAAGCTGTCAGACGCAAAAGAAGTTCCCTTAAGCTTTCTGACATAACAAGGACACGCCTGTTTACCAAACTGAAAGCCAAATTCCCAACTGCAAATAAAGCTAGCCTTTGTACCTAACCAAAAATAACAAACTAATCTTCAGCTAAACAAGCAACATAATAGGATTATCAAAACGGAATATATATAGTCCTTTTCCTGTCCAGCCAGGCCGGACAGGAGGCTCGTCCGGCCACCTCAATTTGAGGTGGTTCCCGGTGGTATTTTTGCTGAATTTTTTTGTGTATGTTCTTCATCAAGTCTAGTTCATCCATACCAAATTTGAGAAAAAAATTCAATCGGGAAGGTCGTCAAATGATTTTTGCATGATAACTGCTCCGGAATATACATATAAAACGCAGTTAGCATGCAAAAATCATTTGACGACCTTTCCAATTGAATTTTTTGCTCAAATTTGATATGGATGAACTAGACTTGATGAAGAACATACACAAAAAATTTCAGCCAAAAATACGACCGGGAACCGCCCCAAAAGGGGGAGGCCGGACGAGCCTCCTGTCCGGCCGGCCGGACATGAACATTCGTGTGTGTGTGTGTGTGTGTGTGTGTGTGTGTGTGTATAATGTGTGTGTGTGTTCATATGAAACAGATAATTTATTCTTACCTCGGGATTTTTGTGAGCACATAATAATTTCAAAGACCTTAATACATCCTTGGTCAACATTTTTTGAGAAACAGTATCAGACGCAAAAGCCAATTTTGCCAATACTTGCAAAACAGATATCACTTCCTCGGGTCCAGAAGACCTAAGTACTCTTTCAATTGGTTGCATGATATCCGATTTCATTAACTGCATTGCCACAGAGACATCCGAGGCAAGATATGTAAGAGCAGAGCAAGCTTGTTCTACCTGACCAAATGACAATGAATAAGACCACGGATCTCAAGAAATTAATACCAAAAGCATGCCTTCTCATTGGCAATTCAAGCTATCATACCACATGTTGATTTTCACTAGTAATCATACTTATGAGCTGCCTAACAGCATTCTCATCTTTGCCAACAACAATACGATTTCCCTCATCTTGCATTATCTTTGCCAGGGCAGATGCGAGCAGAGGATGGTGACAAGAGGAAAAGCGAAATACAAGAGAGAAGAAGGCACTGAGTTTGTGTCGAGAAGCAACAAAGTAAGAAGTATTCTCCATCTGCAATGAATTCAAGAAATTTTTATTGCCAATTCATGAAGCCAAATTGAAGAGAGGAAAAAATGAGAAAAAGATCTCCAGAACGAATGATTGTAACTACCTCTATTTGTACATTTACTGATCTTAAATGGTCATCTGACACAATCCTAATATTGGCAAGAGACAAGTGGCGCAATTTTTGCAGTGGTAATATGTCAGGAAGAAATTCTAGAGGATTACCAAATAGCCTAAGAACACGTAGCTCAGTCATAGCCCTGTCATTGAACTGAAGAAAAACATTAGACCTCAAGAATGAATTGATATATAGTTTGACTGATACGTAAGCGCAACACATCGCAAATGTTGGTAGAAAGACCTGAAATCCAGCAGCGGCCTAACCAACTTGTTGTGTTCAAGTGACAACTCAACCAGTCCAACACATTGCCTCAACTCAACTAATCAGGTTTTCAAAGCACAAAAAATAAATGTCAATACTCAATATAATGAATATGTATTTGCATTGAGAGCCATATATGTCAAAATCTATCACTACTTGTGAAAGCAGTTCTAGGCTTACCAGGGACAGAGACTAACATGTTGCAGTCGGCAGCTAGAACTTTCAAGTTCTTCAGCTCACCAAGCTCAGATGGCAAGGTTGAAAGCTTGTTGTTGTCAAGGTAAAGCCTTTCAAGAAGAGGCAGTTTGCTTATCTCTACAGGCAATCCCTGTGGATGGTACAACATAAGATACTGTTTGGTCAAATATACTAACCCCAGAAGCAAAAAACCGTTCACTTAAGTAATAGACTAATTTATATAGTCAAGGTACATAGGCATCAGGATTCTACTCTTTGCCTCTGAAATTTTCTTCATAGCCAGACTTTGTAAACTAATAGAACCGTCCTTTTACAGCATTTCCTTTACCCTCATTTTTAATTCTCTGTCACTTCTTCAAAAATAAAAGAAATACATAACCCCGTTTCCCTGTACATTATATCTTGAAATGATAAGACTTGATGAATATAATACTATCTTGAATTAGATCAATACTAAATGGTCTATTTATTTCTTCACCCAGTAAAAGTTCAAAGTCCCAAGATTTTTACTTCTTCTATTGTAAGCATCGGAAAGCTGAAAAACATTCCCCTCTAATTTCATACTTTAGTTCATCAGTTGAGAGTATCCAGTCACCAAGCTACTTTAACATCAGAAATAGCTTATTAGACCCCTAGAGCCCATATGAGTGAGAAGTGATTTCAGAGAAGGGGTTAAAGCATCCTAGTACAATGAGCAAATGTAGGCAAAAGGAACTCACTGTTAGTCCAATGCCTGAGAGGCTGACAACAGTGACACTCCGCCAATGTTCAGCATAACCTACTGTAGCTTCCCCACCAGCACCTGAGCCGCCTCCATTAGAGAAATTTGACCTCATCAGCTTTAACAGCACGCCCATTCCATCAATCTGTTGGCCTGAACCGCCAGTTCTCCACATTATCACCCCTTTCAACGGATCTCTCCTCTTCATCACCCTCATTTCCACCCTCAACTCCCCCTCTCCGCCCATGTCACTATTTCCCTCACTGCTCCTTTCCTTCAATTCAATCTCGACAGTGTCCTGCGGAGAAGGTAGCGCCACCATGACCTGGGACTGAAGCTTCAACGCCACCTGATCCTCATCATCACCGGCATTCCAATCCAGCTCAACTCTAAACCCTAAATGCTGAGGGTCCTGCACGTCCTGAAACGACGCCGTGGGAGATGCGGAAAACGGCGAGACTGCAGAGGACGATCGCGATGATGTCGGTGTGGTTTCATCTAGGAAATCGTCGGTGCCGTAGCTCAAAGTCAGGTGAAAGACGTCCGAGGGACGTTTCCACCCCAAACCCCATGACATTGAGAAATCAAAATCTTACGTCGTGGGGGTGACGATGAAATGGCAGCAATCGGATCAAATGAGATCGGAGAATGAGAATTGGAATTGCAGATTTACCGAAAAAAGGAAATGATCAATCAGATGTGTTTGCATACAGTATGTAGATGGTGATATTAGTGCATGGGCAAGTATAGGGAGATTTCTGATCATGGAATCATTCTACTGAGTTGAGTTCATCTCGCTGTGTTCTGTTCTCCCATGTATGGAGTTGGGATGGGACGAGCCGGACGGTTTCTGATTCAAACGGAGAGCAGGTACAAGACTAAAAGGTAGTCGTGTTTTGATTCAAAGGTAGAAAAAACATTTTTCTCTTTAGGAAAATGGGGCAAATAAGTCCACGTACTAACAAAAAATGGTCAAATAAGTCCACGTAATAACAAAAAATGGTCAAATAAGTCTTATATAGGAGGTTATGTTCGGCATCGTCATTTGGGATGGTTCCCGGTAGAAATTTTTGATGCAATTTTTTGAGCACATTATTCATTAAGTCTAGTTACTCAAACCAAATTTCAGCTAAAACTTCAATCGGGAAGGCATTCAAATGAATTATTGAAGATAACTGTGCAAACGAGATGAGCCTAGCCGAGCCCGAGTTTATGTAGGCTCGAGCTCGAAATATATTGTATTGGCTTGAGCTCGAGCTCGGTTCGAACGAGCTTAAAAAATTCGGACTCAAGCTCGACTCGCAAATATTGACATAGCTCGATTCGGCTCGACTCGGCTCGACTCGGCTCTATAATTTTGGTTCGTCAACTCAAATGTTACAAGTTCGATTAGCTCGAAAGTTCGGGTTCAAATTCGAGCTCAAGTATGAAACAATCTTTGAATATTTGTGCTTAGTATTTGCAAATTGAAATTTACATGCCCAGTAACTAAAAGTAGAGTGAATGTTGTCCAAAATAAATAAAAAATGATCAAACCATGATGATTTAACTGAAACTAGAGTTACGGGAACGGAAACATAATATCTCCCCGATCCTCATATACATTTACCAAACGGTATATATATATATAAATTTATATTATATATATTATATATACTAATATATATTGTATATTAATTTATATTACTACCTCCGTCCCTCTTATATTGGGTCGGGAGAGAGTGGCACGATTATTAAGAAAAGTGGGGTTGTGTGGTTGATGTTAATTGATAAAGTAAGAATAAAGTAAGAACGATTTAGAACCACACAAACTTTACCAAATATGGTATGGGACAATTTTAGTGGGACTTCCCGAAAAGGTAAAACGGGACAATATAAGAGGGACGGAGGGAGTAATATTTTATATATTTATATTAAATACTACCCCCGTTCTTAAATAAGTGCAACATGTGAAATTTTACACTATTCACATGTTCTACTTTGACTACATTTTATTTATTGATGTATTAATATATTTTTTTGAAAAATATATTATTAAATTTGTCTCATTGTAAATTTTCAAAAACTATTTTTTTAAAATTTTTTACTAATAGAGAATTATATATATTAATTGTTGGGAAAATGTGTTAAAAATTGCATTAAATGGTCATTTTGGGGCAATTATTTGAGTGGGGTCCACTTTCGATTTGGGTCGGGTCAAAGTGGTTTCGGATTGTCCTTGTTAAGGGCTACAATTCGATATGTGGTACACTCAAAACGGATAACGGGTGAATGAGAAATTGATTCTCGAAGTTCACTCGTTGAAATGGAAAAACTGGAAAAATGATGGGTTTCTAGTGTGTTTTATCCCACACCGGAAAACTCAATGGATTTTCACCCCCTTTTAAAGGGAAACCTCTTTGAAGGAGTTAAGATTCCTAAAGGTAAAGGCTCTCTCTTACGCGCAGGGGCTCAAGTATGAAACAATCTTTGAATATTTGTGCTTAGTATTTGCAAATTGAAATTTACATGCCCAACAACTAAAAGTAGAGTAATTGTTGTCCAAAATAAATAAAAGGGAAAAGGGGCAAAAATCCCCTTGAAGTTACCAACAAAGTGCATCTATGCCCTTAAACCTTTTTTGTGTGCAAAAACTTTTAAAAACCATGAATTGAAGGGCAATAACCCCCTTTAACTAACTGAATCAATTTAACAGCATTCACTACCGTTAAAATTGCCCCCTTAGCGGCTATGGTCTATGGACCGTATATTAGTATATACTCCGTACTATGTACAACAGATAAAACTTACTCCTTTAGCTGCTATGGTCTATGGACGGTATATACAACAAATATGCGGTAGCTTTGATATTTTTTCTTTTTAATTTCAGCTTGTGTTCTACAACAAATGTGGTCTAACTAAAATGCACATATATTCATCCATAACAACATCTGTCAGTCCCAAAAAACAAATACCACCTTTATAAAAAAGAATATTATAGCTATGTTCTAAATCATCTTAGGAATGATGATTGATAAAAAACTATAGCATCAATATGCTCAGTTGGCGCAAAAGAAATAATCCAGCCTTTAAAACTACTTATCCGTGGAAAATGTCTCCCCATCTAGCATGCTCGTTGGCAATTTTATCTCCTTGTACTTCAAGTTGTCTACGTTATAATGAGTACTACGTATAAACAAAGAGATGGTGAACTCTGAACTAAACCTATATTCACAAATACACACGTGCGCGCGCACACACACATATAGAGAGAGAGTGCAAAAACACTCAATCAGAGCGAAATGATCCTTTCCAACACTTTCCCATCTGAACACCATCTGAACATCGCCGTTTGGGGCACTTCCCGGTCGAATTTTTTTGGACATGTTCCTCGTCAAGTCTAGTTTATACACAAAAAAATTCAACTCAAAATTCAATCAGGAAGGCAGTCAAATCAATTTTTGAAGTTGATTGCATTTTTATATGTATATTTTGGCGTAGTCAACTTCAAAAAATGATTCGACTGCCTTTCCGGTCGAATTTTTTGTGGATAAACTAGACTTGATGTGAAACATGCCCAAAAATTTTCATCAAAAAATTCCACCAGAAAGTGCCCAAACGGCGATGTTCGGACAGTGTTAGGACGAGAGAGTGCTGAAATATATATAGGCTGCACATTGGAAATGCGCATTTTCCGATTTTTTATATGCACATTTCTGTTTTACTTGATGCACAATGCCAAAATCCAAAGCTCCAGAATCATTCTTATTTCTCACGTTAAGCAGTATTCTCATTTGATCCTTACTATATATATATATATATATATATATATATATATATATATATATATATATATATATAGAGAGAGAGAGAGAGAGAGAGAGAGAGATGATCCGGTGCGTCCAGCCGCACGAGAGAGGCCGTCCGGCCGATGGCTTTTGGTCGCCTTCCCATTGGAATTTTTTGATGAAATTTTTATGGCATGTTTTACATCAAGTCTAGTTTATCCACAAAATATTTCAGCTCAAAATTCGATTTGTATAATAGGGCGCAGTCAACTTCGAAAAATCACTTGAAGGCCTTCCAGATCGAATTTTGAGCTGAAATATTTTGTGAATAAACTAGACTTGATGAAAAACATATCATAAAAATTGCATCAAAAAAATCCACCGGGAAGGCGTCCAAACGCCGCCGGCCGCACGGCAATTCTGGTCAGTCCGTCCGCACATGAATATCCCCCCCCCCTCTCTCTCTCTCTCTCTCTCTCTCTCTCTATATATATATATATATATATATATATAGTAAGGATCAAATGAGAATACTTCTTAACGTGAGAAATAAGAATGATTTTGGAGCTTTGGATTTTGACATTGTGCATCAAGTAAAACAGAAATGTGCATATAAAAAATCGGAAAATGTGCATTTCAAGTGTGCAAAAGTTTACATGTAAACGTGCAAATTAGAATTTTGCATTACTTTAACTATAAAGTGCAATTTCGTGAATAATAAAGTGCATCGTTTTGGAGTGTTCTCATTTCTCAGGTTAAGAAGTGTTCTCACCGGAATCGTACCCTATATATATATATATATATATATATATATATATATATATATATATATATATATATATATATATATATATATATATATATATATATATATATATATATATATATATATATATATATATATTGGATGTTTACAAGGAAAAGGAGATGAGAGATGCGAGTATACGATTGAATCAGGTTGAGAGTGGAGGAAGGCGACTTCACTGTAAATTGCTGAGAGATGCCATCAATCGAAGGAATTTGGTAGTAACGAATTTAGGGTGTCAAATTAATTAATTTTTTTTCTTCAGATTCCCCCCACTATTTTATTAATTTATACGGAGTATTAAAAGAAGTCCATGTCATCCTATTATTCACGGCACATACTCCGTATGTATTACCTGTTCGCCGTTAAGCAGAGGGTATGGATGCTCTCCAATTCAAGGATTTAAAAGGTTTTTGCACAAAAAAAAGTCCAAGGGCATAGATGCACTTTATTGACATCCTCAGAGGTGTTTTTGCCCCTTTTCCCTAAATAAAAAATGATCAAACCATGATGTATTAACTGAAACTAGAGTTACGGGAATGGAAAATATAATATCTCCCCGATCCTCATATACATTTACCAATCGGTATTATATATACATATATATATATATTAATTTATATTATATATTATATATACTAATATATATTATATATTAATTTATATTAATATTATATATATTTATATTAAATATATATATACACACACAGAAAACTAGGCCCGCGAGCTAGCGAGCCTAAAATTAGTAGGCTTGTTTATGGCTTGACTGCTTAACGAGCTGGCTCGAGCTCAAGTTTGACCGAACTCGATTCGAGTTTTGACCGAGCAGCTCATGAGCGGCTCGGCTCATTTGCACCCCTACCTAGGGGTGGCTGGCTTACGACGACGTACGTCCCCAACAGAACGCCAAGGCCCCATTATACCTTAGGTGCACTCAAAATAAATAATCAATACAACACAAATACGTAGTATAGTGCAGTAAGGTTCGTATCCACAGGGAAAGGAATACTTTTCTTTTATAAAAGTAGTAACAAAAAGGGGGGTTTAGATTTGTTTGTTTTAACAACACTAAGATAAACAACCTATATGAGTTTAATGCAATGAGATGAAGACTTGGTCTTGCTTTTATCCACTTAATGAAATGTTCGTCGATCCCGGTTATATCTTTAACTATCTTCCTCTCGAATACTCAATCGAGGAGTATATCCAGTTCATCGAGGGTAGTTATTAATAACGAGATGCGTTCATTAATAAAACTTA